AAGATTGAACAACCACTATTGTTTGCAGTGAACTGTTTCCTCTCTACATTTGGGGATAGTTTTCTATACACACGTGTTGGGTGTGCTAAAAGTTGTCAACCCCAAGTTTTAAACAACACGATGAACATGGAAATATCCCATATGATGAAGTTTATCAGGCTGGTCTCATTTCCAATAACATTCATGTATGAACTCTGATCCAGTCAATTTTTTTTTTACTTGAGGATATATCCACTGGAGGAAGATGATAATATCTTTCACCTGAGCATCCTGCTACAGTCAGAGCGATTCTTTATCATTTCAAATGAAAGCTTCAGTGGTGCAGATACCTGTACCACTGTCAGATGTGCTGTACCACTCCCATACCCTAACAACCACACGGGGAGGGCAACACCATAGAGATGTAGGGCTGGCACTGGGTAACATGTAAAATGTTTTTCCGACCAGCCGGGTGATAAATTGACAAACATCAATAAATTGATACCGTTTTGATTTATTCACACACATTCTGCGCAGAACAAGTAACTCCAGATTTGATTTGTACAAATTTGATTTCAAACTTATGCAGGTCAGAGGCATTTTGAACCCCGTCTATTGAAAGGACCTATTGGAAATAAAAACATGACTCCAAAGCTTTTACATTAAGTGTGACTCCATTCTCCTTACAAAGACACGACGAAACGTGTGAAATGAAAGGGTGTGTTCAGCTGGGTCTTACAGCACTGAGGATGCAACAGTGCATTCTAGAGGACAACAGGGAAATGACATGGGACATTTCAAATGAGTGCATGCTCCAGTGATTCTTATTATTAAAAATGTGCAAAGGAATTAATTAAAAAAAATGTGGCTTTTCAAGTCATTTGGTTTGGCACAAGCTAAGCGACTTCACAGGGAATTTTCTATTTCTGATATATATTTTTAAAAGATTATATAAGAAGTAGCAGGTGAAGCCTTTTTTTTATTGATAGATTATTCATTATAAGCTAAATTGGTCAATCTTTTATATGTAAAGTTTAGACATTCAAAATTGTGTATGATGTGTAATGCTAATTACAGTCACAAAAAGGGACCTGAGAAAATACTGATTAGCTGAATATGGTTTGAGAAATAAGAACCATAAGAATCATACAGTCTAGTATTTATCACAATGCCATTCCACACAGCAAAAAGACCTCGGAGCGTAGACATTGCACACTTACCCTTTTCTCGACGTTTCCTGTCATGAACCGATGCACACACGTTCACACTGAGATGCTCTCTGGTGGGGTGCATCACACATCCATCTGCAAGCCTGATAGTGTTTTGGTGCATTCTTACTTAGGTCTGAGCTGAGTTTCTGAAAAATAACAACAGTGATTAGTAGGTGTGTATGTGTGTGTGTGTGTGTGTGTGTGTGAAAGAGAGAGAGAGAGAGAGTATTCCAGAATCTACATTTGCATATAGTGTGCTCTCAAACAGATAAGAGGGAAATCAAGCTAATGAAAAAGCCACTGAAGTCAGTAAAAAAAGCTAATTTTGTAGCCATGTGTCATTTTAAAGCTTTTTTTTATCTAACTTACCCTAATTTGATAAAATATTATGAAAACTTCTATTGAAACATTCAAACCCAAGATTTGCTGAAGTGAGCAAAGTTGATTTTTAATAGATGTTTCAGAGTCAACAGCTTTGTCTGCAAGGAATGTGTGCAGGATTACCAAAAACTCGTCTTATTAGAAGGAAATGAGCCAGATGTGTCGTGTTGTTTCTCATTAGTTACGTGCAGTCGACTTTTTTTTCCATCTTAAAACAAATATGTTGCCTCTAACATGTGCATGACAGCTGGAGATGAGTACTCAGCTAAGTGGAGGAAAATAAATCAAACCACTTGCCATCTCTTTGTGATGATTTGTCTAATTCTCATCTGGTGTGTCCATAGGGGGAGGAGAGGAGGAGAGGAGAGGGAGAGGTGGGAGAGGAGGATGACGGGACTTTGTGTGCACGGTAAGAAAGACTGGAACAGCAAGTCGGGGAGATGGAGGGAAAAGTGTGTGTTTAGACCAGCTGCACAGCAAATCTGTTTATTCTGCACAATTTGGCATCAAACAAAACAGACTGCTGAGTGCCTGCTACTGCTTGTGGTGCCCTATTAAAATGGAATTTATTGCTGCCTTAAGAGCAAACCCGAATCACACATCCCCACCCCCCCCCACCCCACCCCCCCTCTCTCTGCTCTATTCTCCTTTTTCGCTCCTTTCCTCATTTGCAGTTTCTCTTTTCATTCGGCTGTAATGTTGAGTTTCCCCGAAGTCACAGACTTTTAGCAGCAGCTGTCTGACAAGTCGTCAGACTGGGCTGCTCATTACAGACAGGAGAAAGCATTCCATACCTTCCGGAAAGGTATGGAATGCTTTCTCCATCCACAAGTCGCTCATCACTCCCAACCCCTCTGTCACCTGACCCAGTGGTACGGAGGCATCCATCCAAAATGAGCCAGCTGTGGCTCTGTGGTGAGTTCACATGCAGCTTTCACTGAGTGGACATCACACCGTAAAGACCCTGAGGTGGATTTGTCTTCTTTGAGTCTTTTGGGTGAGACTTCGTCCCCTCACTCTGATCTTGATTGACGCCTGCGTTTCGTGTCTGGAATGATATTCTGACAACCCGTTAGCATTTATTTTTACACCGTTAACCAGGACTCATGCTGTGAAGAGAATGTGAACTCTGGACCCACATCTGGATGCATAAAAGCTCTCAGCCAATGATAAATTCATATTTAATGACCATGGCCATCGTCTGGGAAGGAGGAGCATTCTTTCATTATTGCCTCTTTCCCCTGCTGCTTGGTCGCGATAATTGATTTCTCTGTGGTAACAAGGTATCGACCACGCACGGCAGCCAGCTAAGACGGCGGTTCGATTCAAAGGAGGGGTGGAGAGGGAGAGGGGGGGAAAGAGGGAACGAGGGATGAAGCTGAAGGAAAGAGCAGAAGAGCCTGAAAGCCAACAAGCCATGCAATTACCTGCAGTTATGAAAACTTGCTGGTTTTAGGCGGAGTAGATCAGACAATGACTGCAGAGCACAGTAAGGCATATTTCAGCTGTTCTTCAGTGATGCTTACTTGATCTACTAGAGAGAAAGCATGCTGATCAAGTCATTTTGATGTTAGTCTATTAAAAAGAGGATCAGAGAGATATCTGGAAGATGACTCTTAAAGTTACTGCAAAGCTGATAGATTATCAGAGGAATGCTAGATGATAAACACACAAATATTATGTGTAGATGGTGGTTTTCATTTCAAATAGTGGTTAGTTTTTATTTTGTGCAATTCCTTATCTAGGACTGTACTATGTGAAACGTCAAATATTTAGTCTGAGTAGGCACGAGGAACATTTCCTGATGAATGTTCCGGCGCATGATGTCTCACTCTGTCTGTCAGTAAACTTTCCTGGTTCTTTGACACACTTGCAGACTGCAGCAGATGACAAAGTGCGTGTGCTTCCACGGACAAAGGCATTTCCTTTTCTGAATAAACGTACAGTACGATCAGATTGGCAGATCTGACTGGCAGCTATTGAATTGACTTCTCTGACATGCTGCCTTGACCCAGAGCAGACAATGCTGCAGACACTCGCAGCGTGCTGCGAAGCCTGAGCCTGACGTTTAGACTGCTTTTCTAAATCAATCAATCAATGACAGCAATAACTCACCCTTATGACTTGAGTAGTTATTTTTAGGCTTCAAAGAAGGTGTGGGTAGCTGTAATATTCCTCTTGGCATCACTGCCTGCGGTTCACTGTATAAATAGAAGAATTAAGTGGTGCTGTTGTTGTTACGCGTTTACCAGCTTACATTGTAATTTATTTAAGAGCTCTTAATTGGACTAGTTACTCATTTGGCCCTTGTTGGTCCCACAGCAGAATGGAGCTCCATCACAGCACGCTGGGGCATGCTGGAATATGGAGCTTCAGAGACACACTGCACACAGCCAGCTGTTTGATGTCTGCAGCAGGCAAGCGTATGCCGCACCATACAGCATAAATAAACACACAATCCCCCGGTGAGAGGACAGATCGACACACAGGAGACCTTATTTCAGGCTAATGAACTATTAATGTTGATTTGAAATTCAAACATTTTCACAGGCTCTTCGCTGCCGTTATTCCTGGCCCTGGTTTGAGCAAAAATAAAGAAGCTACAATAAACCAATTTGGATGATATCACTATGTGCATTGCAACCCTCCTTTACAGACAGACATTTGTCTTTATACCTTTGTGGGGATGGTCAATTAACACCATGCAATCTATAAATGGTCTCCCTAACTTCTACCAAACAGGCGAAGGCTTAATTGTTGATAAGAATAAAAAAACTGGGCCTTTGGGAACTGAAACATGGTCCCACTCCCCACAAGTACGGGTCTCCATTAGGAGCTCAGTTCAGGTCTTCCTAATGATACAAAAACAAATACACACATCCCCCAAACAGCTGTACCCAAATCTCAGAGGACCTGATGTGTTGCTACAGCTCCGTATTAAATGAGGCCATATAAAATGTATGTCAGTGGGCTCAGCCTCGCTTTGCACTTTCCACAATAACTGCTAATGGAATAACTATAAGATGTATAAATGATTCCCGCTTTAATTCATAATAATGTTGAACCTCATCGCCTGCCCATTCAGCCTAATAGATTATGGAAATAGCTTTAATGACTATTGGAACAATGCGGGCAAACCGCATTATCATTCAGTGCCACGTCAGCTCTGGAATAACTGGTACTATGCTTTTGCCCTTTCACTGAAACTCTTGAATAACAATGGCTTGCATTTAATTGAAAATTAAGACTAAAGCTTTGACTCCACACATAATATACTTAATCAAATACTCAGTTACCATGGTAACTTTTATCCTTGTCAACATGGAAAAGACTTATGTTTTGAGTGGCTGAAAAAAAAAAAAAAAAAAAAAAATTCTATATAGACTATCCCTTACCAAACATGCATAAAACAAGGGCAAAGTCAGATTTGGTCTTTTTGTCCATTTATTTTTCAGCTCAACAATGAACATTTATCTTATGCGAGCCAAGACAAAACAAATTAATGTCAACATTCAAACCACAAGATCTTTGGTAAAAGCTGAACATTCAGTTACACAAAACATTTAGTCAGTGAAAAATAAAATGTATAAAAATATATGTAGTATCATAAGACAGTGTTGTAACAGGGCTCTTGCAGCTTCAAACAAAGCTAGTTTGAGTTTTCTTGTTTTAAAACCAGGCACCCCATTTTACCTTTTGCATCCTAAGTAACTACTACTTCTACCATCAGTAACAGAAGAACACCAAGATCAAGCAAAGGGGATATTTAGAATGGAAACTTATGTTGTTGTTTTTGTTAACTATCCCCTCTGGATGACTTCTTTTACCGGTAGATAGTGTCTTGCTGTTTGTGTCGTTACAAATACTTGATTTTTAACAGGTTCTGTTTTGACATGAATAAAGGCAGCGTATGGTTTTTGCTTTGTGTTCACATGATGGGTTTGGTTTCTTGACTAAACCATACTTTCTTAGCAGAAAGACTTAAAATAAAGGAGAGGCTGTAATTCTGACTGTGTAATGTGCCTTACATACAGGAAAACCTTTCGACTGTTAAGGCTTCCATTTCAAAATAGGTGCAGCAGCGCCCTCTAGTGGTAAAGTGGAAAGTTTATGTGGAGTGCAAAACACTGTATCATTGCTAATCAGTATTAGTATGGTTACAGTTGTCAGAGGTTAACAGTAATCATGATAGGTGCACATCAAAATAAAAGAAAATGTTAAATAATTAAATGACATGGCTAACAATATGAAAAAGCACTGGCCTCCTTCTCTCCTTTGTCTATTTTACCTGTATGATATATGTTTGTTAGTAAATCACTGTGGTAATAACCACAATTTCAAAGAGAAAAATCTGAAATATTCAGCTCCTAGAATATTTTCTATTACTTTAAAGAGGTTTCTTGGTCTAATAAACCATGAAACATTTTATAACCACACAGATGTCAATACAGAATTGGTCAGTAGCGAAATATTAGTAATCAAATAAAAGTCATTAAAAATCTCTTCGTACAAAAATTATGCATTCTGTAATTGCACACAGATTTTCCCACATGATTAGATCCATCTATTGCATAGGTAATGTGCAGAAATATGTGCCATTTTCTTTTCTTTACCATTACTTGAGATGTGGAGACGCGAAGAAGTTACCCTGGCGGTTGGAGGCAGAGGCTGCTTTGCTCTTGCTTCCAAATCTAAGGGTGAAAGGGTTTGGGAAGGAATATGTTAAACTGAGTTTTAAACAAGTCTACCGACTAGCAGTATGTCCAAAATAACTAGACAACTGAATCAACTTGTGGATAACACAAGCTCAAGCTGCAATACATCCATTCGTCCAGCCAGAAAAACAGTTTTGGTAATCTCATAGATCAAATTAAATAAATAAAAAGATCTAAACTCCATATGCTGTTGCACTATGGATAAAATCATATACGGAATATAAAACTTTGGGAAGAGGAAACTTACAGGGTAGTGTTGGAAAGGGTCTGCTTCATTCGCTGAGACAGTGAGCTGGAGGAGGGCGTTTTGGCCATGACCTGATGCTCTGGAGTTGTCACTGGTCCTAAGATCCTCACTTGGTGAAATAAAAGAAAAATATCCTTAAAAGACTCAGTCTCAATGCAAAAAAAAGGTATTGATGTAATTCACTGACTTAATTCCAAAGTTCTTTAAAACTGAGTTTACAGCTGTTTCGCTATGTCTTAGTTAGTGAAAGGCATAAAAAGGAATAAGAACCTAATTGTCAGCATTCAACTAACACATTTCAAAATCTCCAAATATAAACAATGAATATAAAAGATGAAAAAGAAGAAAGATAAAAGATGAGTGAGATGCTGTTAATTAAGGATAAATGGCACCCTCAATATGCAGACTATGGGTGCATAAGAGTAAAATACTTTATACAATGAGCATCAGACAATACCAGGACTTGCATTACATTCTATTCATCACATACTAATAAATCGTTCAATTTGCTTTTCCCTCAAGACTGATAGAGTTATTTGCCACCTCATTTAATTCACTTTACGGCCACCAATATATTTTGTCTCTGTCCGGTCATTTACCTTTGTAGTTTAGAGTATCAGTGTGGTGAGCAGCATCCAAGCTTACATTATCTGGATAAGCAAAGCGGCTCCAGTAGCTCTCTGGAATACTGAGCAAGCGCTCTACAACCTGAGTGGCAGAAGATAGATCAAGCATTAACACTCAAAAATCAGAATGGCACAATAACATTAATATTAAACTAAAGAAAAACAGTGTGCTGTTTTGTAGAGCTGGGGCCAAGGTCGTTTATGTTATTTAGAATCAGTAATACTTCCCCACTCAAATTCTCATTTTGGTTAATCTAAAGTGGAAGTACAAACTACCATGTTGTTTTGTATTGTCCACATTAGGCTTCGTTTTTACATTCTTATCATTCCAGTTAGTCTCACATACAGATAAATTCAGTGAGGGTTAGTATAATATTAATTTAAATGTTGAAAAAGAGGAAATGGCTCCATAGAAAATTTACCCTTGGTTGTTTGCTTGTGTCATGCAGGATGGTCATAGGGTCAGGGTCAGGAACGGCATGACCCACCAGGGTTGGCCCAAAAACTCTGGCCAGGTTGTGTACATCCATCTTGGTATCTACACTCTGAGAAACTCTGAAAAAAGAAGAAAGCAGACGATCCATCTCTGGTGTCTCGTCTGAAAACGGACTGCAACACATTTCGACATGTTTTGAACAGTTTCCGGTTACTGCGCCGAAGAGATATCACAAGTCGGACAGAACAAAGGACTCTGAATAACGCTGGAACATGACGTAGTTACTTCTGCAGGTGGATCATGAGGCAGGCCAGAGTGTCTCGATTGGGCTGAGGCAGCTCACTGATGCTCTGATACAAAGTGGCAAGACAGTTGTCATCATCCTGGATTTCTACAGAACGAAATAAAAGTACTGAATTTATTTTTGTGTACATCACCGTTTTCAACTGTATTTCACTGTGACCGGGCCTTTCTCAGACCACACCAACTGTGAGTGGTGGAGCTTCTGAAGCCCCCAAAACTCACCTGCTGCATCCAAAAAGGCCTTGTTCAGATGAAAGGTGAGCAGTGGCTCAAAAAGGTTTCTCAGAAAGTCTTTGAGGACACCTGTAATGACATTGATGTCCTCCACTTTGTTAAGGGGAGGCAGAGTCTTTCCTCTAATCAGCTTCTCTTTGAGCTCTTTCACCAGGCGTTCCTGGCCAGAGACTCTGTACAGACCAACCTGGGGCGAAGCAAAGACAGAAAGAAAGCAGCCGTCATTGTTCACCGCCTGTGATACTCTAATGGCACTAAATGAGATGACTAATTAGGGAGAAATTATCCACTGTTACCCCTCAAGGGGAAAGGATTAGTGTTAACTTGAAAGCGAAAAGTACACAGAGATTAATAAAGCTCGTCTCACCTCATGAAGGCCTCTGCGTTCAATCTCTTTAATGCAGTAAATAACCAAAGCCGGAATCTTTGGGGAGGTGGCTGGAGCAAAGTCAGCCAGGGTGGCCTATACACAAATGATGTCTTTAAATATTTATACAACATCAAAACTACTTTGACAGCTGCGTAAATGATGCAAGAGCAAAACATTTCAGAATTTGTACCTCTGAGCTCTTGATGGGAGTACCAAGAGCTGTGGGATTACAAGGCAGGGGGCAGTGCTCACGACATTCTGGATGCGTCACAACCCGGCAGTCCTGGCAGCGAAGATACAGCTTGCCAAACTTTGTCCTTCGTCCACATGGTCCACAGAACTCAGACTTGATCACCTTCAGAGATAATAGAATGAATGAATGAGCTTTATTGTCACTATACATTTCCAGTACAATGAAATTTGGAAAATCGCATGCAGCCATACAAGGTGCTTTGTTTTCCTTACTTCAGAACCAGAATATACATTGGGAAAGTGGTTGCGGGAAGAGGGAGAAAAACAAAAAGGCCCAGTGGGCCCAATAGAGGGCAGAGCTTAAGTTAATAAGTTGAAAAAAAAGGCTCCTGTTTGAACATTTAGAGACAGTTAATGAGATGATAGCTATACCGTTTTGGGAATGAAGTGGTGCTTCTTTCCACCTCTGGCCTGGGGAGTTTGGGGTTGGGCTGGAAACTCTGAGACTGGTGTGCTGGGAGCCTCACTGGCTGTCTCAGATTGGTCAGTAGTGGTTGTCTCACCCAACACAGGAGCCACTAGAAAGACAGCCATGTGTTGGTTAAGACAGTGAAAGCAAAGAAGAACCTTAAATAAGAAAAAAAAAAGGAAATCACTTGACACATGGCTTTACCATTGTATTAGAGTATGCATATATAATATATGAATAAATCTCACCACTCCTCTTTCTGCTGCGGGTCCAGTAAGGCACAGTTTCAATGGTGGAGACGGCTTCGACCACACCACCATTTGCAGGCACCGTGATGGTTGTTTTTGCCACAATAGACTCATTTATCTGAATGAATATTGAAGAAGATGTTTTATGTCATGTTTATGTAACTTACACAGCTACAGTTACTTCAATTCAGTTTACAGATGTTACAGATGCAGACTGCCATCTAAAAGTCAGCTGCAGAGGTCAGTATTACCCTGTCTGAAGGCCGCCCCATGGAGCGGGGCTTCTTCACGGCTTGCGGAGGACCTTCTGAGTGTTTTCTTGAAGACCGCTGTGGATTAAAACAAGGTTATCAAAACCCTTCAAGCGCCGCAAAGACTGCGCTGGGGCTAATTTAATAAATGAACTCAGAATGTGTCAGAGGGCGTCACCCACTCGTTTTTGCCGTTTGCGCAGTCTCATATTCTTGACCGCAGAGGAATCCCAGTCCTAACAGGGAAGAGGAAAGGGAGGGAGAACATATTACTTCACAAGCCTTGAATAAACCTGTTACTGTCTTATTTGAAATATTAAAAAGAGCCTATTTACCAAAGAGTCATCTGTTTGATCATAGCTGATGTCTGACAGCAATGAGGATTCATCAATTCTTGTCAATCTGTAAGAATGTTTTACATATATCAACGAACAATGCTTGGCCATGGCGACATGAGATTATGTTCTGGTAGATGAAACAACAAAGCTGCACCATAACCAGTTTACGAGTGGCTGACCTTCGGCTGGAGTTTAGGTTGGATTTAGCAGCTTGTGCTGCCTGAGAGTGGGCACTGAGGAAGGCCAGGGCTGACCGCTGCTCTTCACTTAAGTGGACACTGTTGCCATTGTTCTCTGTAATCAGCAGGTCCCGGATCAGCTGTAGCTGCCGCTCCTTGTGAAACAAAGAGGAAGCAGGTTGGCAAAGACAGGGAGGAGCAGAAACAAACACAGATCAGTTTCACTGGGTTACTGACTGTACCTCTCATTATCTTAATCCTAATAAGTTGGTTCCATCAATCTAATATACAACATACAATCCTATAAGTACAGAAGAATTTAAATAAGTGCAACACCAACCAGCTTCTCGTAGACCGCCTCTGCCTTCTGCCGGCGGCGGATCTCCACGTCCACCTGGTTCCTGGCATGCTTTAGCTTGACCTCCAGGGCTCCTCTCTCCGTCTCTGCCTTTGTCAGCATCTCTTTACAAGATACCAGCTCGTCGCCCGCCAGCAGCCATTTTTTACGGCAATCCTCAAAGTTCACTGCCAGCTGGAGGAATTCTGCATGATGTCAAATATTGCAAGTGGTGTTAGCTTCTGTGTTGCTGATGTCCTTACGGATACTAAATACTGTAGCTTTTATTAATATCAACCACTAGCCATTCAGTCAATTAGTGGAGATGACAGATGTAGACACTGATGTAAAAAGAACAATTTCAGCTGCCATCTATAATAATTTCTACTAGCACTGATCCATCAGCCTTACATTTACTTAAATCAGATCCTCTGTGTTCTTTGCTTAGAATGCAGTCAGTATCTTTAATTGCATCAATCACAAAAACGAGCTATGAAAATGCACTACCAGTCCAACCACTACTAAATGTTCGTTTTCTAGGTAGACTAGTTTAACACTAAAAGCTCATCAAACATGTAAACGCCACAGTGTTGAAGGATGGCTTGAGCATAGATGGAAATAACTTACGTGGTTCAATCCCCTCATTCAGACCGTCCACCTGAGCCCTGAGACTCTGAAACTGGTTGTGCAGGTTCACCACAGACTCCATCCTGTCGCACTGCTGCAGATTTATCATGCAAGAAATCCACTTAAATTAGACAAAAGAAACTAAAAAATGTAATCTAGTTACATATCACATTGTCAAAAGTTGTACAGGCTCAAAGTTAGTCTTTAAGTGGGAAGCAACATTTCAAATAATAAAAGTAGGCAAGATAAACGGTGTAGTTACAGCACAAAATCACTAGAAAGGGACAAACGCAAACTTAAAATTGGACCACAACAGCTTCGTTGAAATAGCACCAGGTCTAACTGTACTGACCATGTGAAGAGGCTAGCGTCCGGCTAACAATAACTGTAGCAGGTTGGCGCTAACCTTTTCGTCAGGTGAAACATCGAATTCAAAAGCAAAGAAAATTTAAAAAAGTAAATACCTGTGTGAAACTGTTCGTATGGAATACTCATGTACTGTAATCGCGTCCGACGTTGAGAGGAGAAGTTTCATATGGTATTCCCACGCCAGCAGCAGAGCCACACCTGATACAGTTTGCACATTCCTTTGCAAAGTTCAAAATCAGCGCCGGTTTTCTTCTTCGTTTGTTATTCGCAGATGCATCTGTCGCCCCCACATGGCCGGTTGTGTAACTGCAGGGAGTTTTGTTATTTGGAAGAGGATCTTTGACGGATGTTTTCTCTGACACCCTGAGGTATAAGCTGTCTCTGTGAGTGCTGTTTTCATCCTCACATATGAGATGCACACAGCAGAATCATTAATCAGCCATCGATGGCATATCTGGGTGCAGCCACAGATCGAAAGTGCCGTGTTTAATTAGAATAACATACATACATGCACAGAAAGGTTAATTCAACAACAAAATTCACACGTGAATATAAAAGTGTCTTTTGGTAATTTAAAGCAGGTCAGCAATATTGTTTATGCTGGTCTGATTTTGCATTAAACTTTCCACAATAATTGGGAGTGTCTTCTGAGCATTGTAAGTGCATTGTTGTTGATATAACATAATACAAACTGTCAGTCAATATGCCCTCTCTGCCTTCATCCATAATTCATCTTTACAGTTATGTTTCCTCCTATCATGAATACTTTCACTGTCTTTTACACCACTCACTGTCTGCTCTTTCTCAAACTGTGTGGATTGATTGTGTTATCTGTAAATATAACCACAGACTTGACCAAGAGAAAATGGAAAACTATTTTACCTGCAGAAGCTCATTTTCTCCATTTATTAGGTTGTATATCTTTTTTTTTAAGTTGGAGCCTTTTGAATCATCACATGAAAAACTATAAGTAACATGCAACCACTTTGCATTTTGAGTTTATTCGTGCACATAAGCAACATATGTCAACACACCTCCACAATCACATAAGACATTTCACACAAACTTTCATTAAATACATATCTTTTTATATTTACACTTATATCATTTCATAAAACAACGTTTACCTGAATAACAAGATCACAGGTATGCACTTGGCTGTGTAAAATGTGCATAGATGCAAAACAGTGTCCAGACTTCATGTGAAATCATTCCTAATGTCTCGAGGGGTAAAAAAAAAAAAAAGTATGTGCAACTGAAGGAAAGCACCTGCAGGTTGTGCTGACTAAAGTCAGGGCTTTAGTGGCACCAGTGGAGGGATAATGGATCCAGAATTGCCCTCATGGGTAATACTTGGCAGATAGCGCATCTACAGAGGAGTATAAACTTAAGTAGAACACACCCTTTGCACATCCTGTAGGTATTTGTGTCCAAAAGGCAAAGTGGAGTCTATAAAGTGTGACAGGACAAACTTTCTGATGCAGCGTCTTTTCTGCTTATATGCACTGTTCCTTTGTACTTTGAAGCGTTCTCAGGTTAATGGAGTAAAGTGCTGGACATTTTCTTTTCTGGCATAATGCCTTTGATTGAAAGTGGCAGTATAGACTGACTAAAAATATGGGTCAAAAGGAAGCTACATTAGATAATAATGCAAAATTGCAACATAACCCTTTGGCCCCTGTCTATCTTCTAAAGCAAAAACAAAAAGTTAACAATCTAAATGTTTAGAATGTGGTGCAGTCAAGGCAGTCCTGGAAAAGATATCTAGACTGAGTTGTTCACAGTACATAGTTGCACTTTTTATAATTAACATCTCAAGTATGTGTTAACTGATGGGGTTGCATTCTGCATTGTACTGTGCGTCTGCCATTTATTTTGACCAAAATGTATTATAGCATTAATTATAACCTTACTTTCAAATTCAATCGCCAGTACTCTGAATGTCTCCGCAAATACTGAACTGTGCAAGTTTTAGAAGGGCAGTATTTACCATAGAGCAGGTAAAATAATGTTCTTTGTGTTATCCACTACAGGTTTTACAGTATGGATTCAAAAGCAAACAGTGTGACTGCAGATTATTAGCACCAATTGGAATGTCACCCGACAAGTGAACAGATACCAGATGACAGTTTGTTCTGAGAGAATCTCAGAATATATGAAAGAGCTCTGGCCAAGTGAGTGTTGTCAAAAGATAATGTACATATAGGTGCACTTCAAGCTTCCCATCAATTGAATTAGAAGTGGAAACTGCCACTCAGAGAGTGTTTACTGGAAAAAAGCTGTCTCTTTCTTTCACTGCTCCACATCATAAGCATTATCATCAACAACAATCCTTCACTGCTGAAACCTGACACCTGGTAAACACTCTGAACCACAAAGACACATTCACAAGTGCTTAAAGCAGATCATATTTTCCTGTTTGAAAAAAAATGGAAGAGAACTCTATAAAAAATAACATTTTTATTGATTCCATCTTATTCAAGTAGTGTATCTTGTTCCTTAAAGGAAGTACAAGAACGTTCAAACTAAAAGAAAACCAATACTCCTGTCCACATAATTCAATACTTTTTATAAATAATCTAAATTCTCATCAACGAATGAAACCGTTATCTTACATAGAAGTGAAATAAGCCCTGTATTGTTCACAAGAAAACAGCATGAACAATGTAGGCAGTGCTCAGTGCTGAGGCTGAATCACAACGCATAAATGACAGTGTCCCTTAACAGGGGTGTTAAAGAAAAAGAAAGAAAAAAATAAATTGACCCTCTTGCACTGGCTCAGTCCAACTAGTTTCAATGTATGTTATATGTTTTGGAGACTTAAAATCAGCATGTATCAGCTATTCCCTCTGCATCAACCTGAAATACGGATCGAATCATTCAATCAGTATTCCAGGTCAGTAGTATTTGATGATTATTCAATTCATGGTATAAAACTCAACAAATGAGCAGAATACACATGGCATGAGAACTAATTTAACAAGTTATGGTCTAAATTAGTTTTTTTCTGAAATAAGAAATAATGGTGCATCATGCTGAGTAACGTCAAGAGGTATTAGTATTTAAATGACCACCAGTACAGCAGTAGAGCCAGAACATGGTAATATCGCACTAAATAATGAACATAAGGATAGTGTGCAAATTCCTGGTTGAAGCCCATAGCTGCTTAAAATATATTGACAAATAATTAGAATGAAAATAGGCAACAATGGAGTTTTTTTGTGAGTCTTCATGAGCCCACGGTGCAAATGGGAATAACAATGATGAGGACAATAGTCACTGCAATAGCAATGAGTGAAATGAGCTTGCAGACCTTGATCCGACGGAGGTTAGCCTCTTTACGCCTGAGCAGGGCATCGTAACCAGGAGTGTAGATGTCGTCCATCCAGAACTCCATGTTGTTGGGATTCAGAGACTCCTGAGCCTGAAGAAAGACATTTGTTTTTCAGAAGGCTTTCTTCAAAAGCTAACATAAATGGATACGATCTAATCTATTTAAATATCATATGTTCTCGCTGGAATCTTATTTTACTACTCCTAGTTATGACATTCTATGATACTAATTGAGCTATATATGCATTAAATGAACTTGCTTAGTATAGAGGTAATGTATTTGTTACCTTCTATGGCCCATAAAGATTTGGCAGTTCTTACATGTATGTCCAAAGGGGAGATCCGTGCCTCTCTATCATCAACAGTCCATATGGGTCTTCCCCTGCCTTCAGCCAGTCTGGGGTCCACAACCTTCCCAGAAGTAAGCCCCCCAGTCAGGCTGCTGTCTTTTTGACGGAACAAGGATGAGTTGAACACTTGTTCCACCACACTGGTGGACTTTTGGGAAAGTAGGTTCGTGGTGCTATCTGACTGATCTCCCTATAATAAAATAAAAAGAGAAAATAGACATTGTATGTAATGTATACACAACTTTTAATGATCCATATTTCTTTCAATCCTGAATCATCTAAGCAAATACTGCAATAAGCCTCCACATCATCACATCTGACAAATCTGCAGGATAAAAAGATGGACATAACAGAGGTTTAAACCGTAGCTACTTTTAAATGATATGACCGGCATGCAAATTAGTTTTCCTTCTAAATCAAGGTGTTTTTTGTTACTCTTCAGGCTTGGCTCACATGCTGCTAAACCAATCTCTAATCCACTAATTACTTATGGAAATGAAATTATCAATTCTACACGGAAACTACAGATAAAAATATAATCTCTAGGTGTAGTATGTAGCACATCTCTACCTGTCCAATTTTCCTTTGCGATGCTTTCCCATCTTTCATTTTAGAGAATGACACTGTCCAGTCTCTGGCAGAGTTAGAGATATTCAGCTGTTTGGTGTCAGAGATCATTTTTTCTTCAGATTGAGTTTTTGAGGCACGACGAGATGTTGCATCTTTCTTTCCTTCTTTCGCACCTTTAGAATCAGTCTGACCTTTGCTGTTGTCCGTTTGATCCACGGGGGTGTTCCATCGGCTCCAGTCCAGACTGCTTGTGCTGGTCCCTGGAAATAGATGTCCAGATGCAGATAGCGGCTGAGGCTCTGATGACTCAGAGGGGGTTATGGGGTGGCTCATGAAAGAAGAAACACCACTCAGGGGCTCGAGCCATCTACCGCCAGCACCCTGTACGCCGGCAACTATGGGCTGCTGGATCTTTTCATCCAGTCGCTGCAAAGCAGACAGTACCTGAGAAATCTCAGCCTTTACATCATTCAGTGACTCTAGTTGTCTTTCTATCTGACTCATTCGAAGCAGCAGCTTGCACACACTGGCTTTTACGCCATCGTCACTGCTCTCCAGGGAATGGAAGAGCCTTTGGAGCTGACCTAGGCGACCACGTCTGGCCTCAGGGGTGTCCTGGTTAACAGTTCCATCATTGGGGTGCAGGACTCCCGTGGAACCGCACATGCTTATATCATCTAAGAAACGAAAGATTGCACTTATGTCATCCTCGCCGAACTCGGGGTCATCTAACGAAGTCATAAAGGAGAGCCGATCAGCGTGAACCAGACTACGGAGTCGCCGATTATCCGGTGGGTCTGTTTGTGTTCCTTGAGCCTTCATTCCATCACCTCCATTTGCCAATCCACTATCAACACTCTCAGCTCCTGAGGACCCCCCCAAAATGCTAATGGCAGGGGTAGATCGTCTCGGAAGCTGTCCTGCTTTTGATTCCATCCCCACATCAATGCTTCCCAGGCCTAGTCGGTCCTCTAAGCTATGACTCTTATTGCTCCAGACGGGCCTTTGTATCCTGGGTGGGCGAAGATGTCGGGGGGATGGCTCTTGTATTGACCCCGGTCCAAAATAAGTTGAATCCTGTAGATCATCAAAGCTCTCATGCTTAGCTTTAGTTCGCCGGTCTGGTGAATGGTGAAGCGTTGTCGGTGATGGGTAAGGATTCGGAATCATGTCAAGTCCTCTGTGTCCTGTTTTAGGACTGGGAGACTCACTGCTGACAGTCACCTGCGGTATTAAAGGAGGCTGGTTATGGAAGTCCTTCTTAAAGATGTTTCTCTTCTGGTCAACCAATGATCCCTGTTCATCTTCAAACACCTCCATTGGAGCAGACTCTCCACTAGATTCACTGTCCGTCTCCAACGGCAGGTAGATATTCTTCATAACCTCAGAGGGAATTTGACTGGTAGAGTAAGAATGTATAGTGTGAGGCAAGTCAAAAGACACAGCCCTCGTTCTGATGGGAGGGGAGGGGGAAGACACTAATGAGATGGGATCCGGGGGAAGACTGGCTCGCTTGCGTGCCGAGTAATTTGATTTTGGAAACAGCAAACGCTGATCGATAGACTTTCCACTGGAGTCAGATTGGGCGCGTGCTCGTTCTTGGCCTGAAATGTAGAACGGTTGTATTCCAGGAAGACTAAGGCCTGGAGACTGGTCAACGGGCAGGACTGTCTGAGCTCTCATTGGATGGTTTTCATCAGAGATTCCACTCGTCATCTGAATAAGGTTGAAGATAGTTACGATGTCAGCAGCGACCCCTATGGGTGAAAGCCCCTGGCCTCTGGTGGAAACCCGGTCCCTGAACAGAGTGGCTGGAAAACAAGGGTCCCTGCTGGCAGCAGCAAACAGCAAACTCCTGAGCTCTATAAGGTGCTCTAGGTCAAAACGGGTGCTGACCATACGACAAAGGTCCTGAAAAGTTAGCCACTGCCGCATATTGGCCAGTTCCTCCAGAATCCCCAGGAGGACTCCAGGGTATTCTTGCTGCAGGTTTGCCATGGCAGTTCACCTAACAAAAAAATAAAATAAAGCCGTCAGCGAGGGATGATATATGTAACATCTGTACCAATAACGAGATAATTCTAAATGCTTGGATTCATTGTCGCAGGTTATGAAAATGTGAAATTGTCTAATGAAAAGTACTGTGAATAAAATTGAAGTAGCCTATACTACAAAACTTATTTTACTTCCATTGAATTAAAAAGTCCTAAAATAATCAACTGTAACACGCTATTTCATTTGTCCATTATCAATACCCAACTGACTTAAGAATCTATATAAGTGATTTGAGTTCTAAGTTTGTAATACTATAGGTAGAGAATGTATGATCACCAGTGCCTTGAGTTGGAGTGAAAGTCACAATGTGAATGAGATTCTGGAACGACCTTATTTGGGCTCCTAAAATAACTGGTCATCTGATCTGATGACGCTGTCACACTGCGCACATCTCTACCTCTCTGGACAGTAACCATTTATTGTTGTACATTTCATTAAGATTAAATGCTTGTCATTTTCATAAAAACAAAGCTAGTTACTGCTTTTGTGTCAGCTGTGAGTGTAAAAATGGCATAGCGTGGCTGAAAATCTAATTTGGGCTATAAATATCCCCCTATAGGTGTAACATATGCAAAGGTAAGCCCACTTACCTGAATCTACTGATGGAGATTTTCAGCTTCACCTCTATCCATCAACAAAATCTACATTTACAGCGGTCCATATTGCAGGAAAGTCCCGGTCAGCTCATCGTTTCACGTTCCTTTCACCACTTCTCAGTTAGTAGCAGTGACTAGCCCAGAGCCCAGGCAGGAGAGGAGAAAATTAGAAATCAGGTCATCTTCCCACAAGTCCCTGCAGTCCCCTAAGAGACCTCAAAATACATCCAAACGGTTTCCCCTGATCACAGATCAGTAGCGGCAACACTAGCAAAGACAATTGTCTGCCAACATTTCTAATAAATAAACTGGAGGAGAGATACTCTTGGCAGGTGACCCACATGTGTGAGTGGGTCAGCACCATGGGCAGATTTTCTCTGGGTGCAGCAGCAATAATTGGTTATGTATACAAGCCAAGCATGCAATTAAGGGGCATATTAAAAATTTATGTTTGTTTAATTGAAACACCTAAAGCTCCACACTGTCAGGAAACTGCATGGAGTGGGCTAAAATGCTCACTAGATTGCTGCGGACAGCTGTCCGGCACACTTTAACCCTCCTATACTTTTCACCATTAGTCTGCATTATCAGCCATAAAGGGTTGTACTTAAAATTCCATTAGAGGGAGAGAAGGCTGAGGCTCTTATAGCTGAGTAGTATCACTCTGCTACAATCAGGAAGGACATCTCTAATTCATCTAACAACTCACTGAAAGGGGGGGGGCCCATCATCCCGTGCACTCAGGAATCAATGCAGTGAATGAAGCATGGCACGGGTGTAAGCATCGAACAGAAATGCTTCACTGTTAGGCCCGCTGTACTGCAGTTTTATTAGTCATTTGAAAAGAAAGAACACAAGATGACATCTCCCAGTGAATATTAGCTTTGGAGTGGTATTCATTATGGTACATTAGAAAAAGTAGACATTATAAAAGGGTCAAACTTTAGAAATTTCCTTTTAGCAAAACATTTGAGTTAATTCGTACACAGAGTAAAAGCAGGATCTACATTAGATTCTGAATGGGCAACAAAGAGCAGCGGCTTAATAAACACAACTAAAAACAGCAATAAAAGGTCTATTACAGTATAACTTTCTATTTTTTTGGAAGTACTTCAGCTGTGATGAGACTCTCTTTTTTTCTTTGGTTTAGATGTCCCCACAGGAGCTATGACAGTTGGAGTCAGGGATGGGTTTAAGGCTGGATCTAAAGCTGGATTCATGGCTAACAGGTCCAGTATCCGGGTGCTCTGGTCACCTGTCAAATGCAACACATGATGAAGGCACAGAAACAATGGTGCAGCGTGCATACATTTTGGTCTGGAAAGTACAAATTTACAAAACAAAAAAGTAAATTAATTTAGAGGTAGGTAGGTATCAGAGTAGGTATTAATCTTAGGGTTCAATTCAAATGTGCAATCTCTGTTTTTGGCTGTGAATGAAACTGGCAGTCCAATGAAAGAGGCAAACTCTCCAGAAGAGTAGCATCTCATTTCCCAATACTACCATAGAGATAAACAACCAGTGTCCAAACAATTTATGTTTAGCCAGAATAAAAGGATTGATCAGATGAAAATAACAAGCCTCCAAAAAAAAGAGTCTGACTTGCTCTGGAAGACTACCATGTACCAGTATTTTTGGCTCGAATGTTAGGTAGCTGCTACCTGCACAGGATTTCCATAAACTATAAAAATTAAAAAGCAGTAATTATCAAAACCATTCTATGATCTGGTTTTCAATACACTCAAATTAAAACAGAGTGAACAAGTATTATTTACATGACCATGACAATATATTCTCAGTGCAGGGTAAGGATGCTTACCAATATTGCCTTCTTCATCACTGGGCTCCAGATCTTGTTGTGGGACAGAAATGCGAGCCAATGCTGCAAGCTCGGCTACAAAGGTTTCTTCTGCCTCCTAATGGACACAGCAACAAAGTGCTTAGAAATAACAGGAGGACAGGAAAGTAAACTCACCAATTATTACGTCTGAAAGTACAATCAGTATGCAGAACACCAACCATTAACTGTGTTTTTATCCTCTCCATGGTTTGATCTTGGGCTACTTTCTTCTGCCTCAACTCCTCATAAATCTGCCCTCGATCCACTTCACTCTGCTCCAACACCTTCCTTTTATTCAGTTCAACCCTAAAACATAAGCCACAGCCAGGGTGGAAATGATGCCCTTTCATTTACGATAATTGTGACCATAGTCCATGTTATGGTACCTCTGTTGAGATTCAGCAGAAGCAGGTTTCTTGCCCCAGTTCACCAGTTCTCTAAGCAGGGTTCTGCTCAGCTGAGCGCTGTGGATTCGCCTTTCGTTTTTCTCTATGAAAAAAAGTTGTCATCATTAAATGAACTATTCCTCTCCTAAAGAAGATGTGAACTGATGTGGAACATGTATTTCTGGATATCTTTTTGTATTCCCGCAGCCTAACTCACCCTGGTTTATGTCTGACTGATCCTGCTGCAGTTTGCTAGTGAGCTCCTGTAGGTGAGAATAGTAGCTTTGGACCAGGGCATTAAGGGAATCTTTGGTCACATAGACGCTCTCTGCAGCAGCCTCTGTCAAATGGTTCTGACAGGCAGAAAATTATGAAAAAAAGGGAAATGTGGTTAGTATGTGTATTATTTTCTTAAAAGAAAAATTGATTTAATATAACTTCATTTCAATTTAATTTGATAATCTAGTCAAATAGATAACTTTAACCAAACTGTTACTTTCAAGCCATCATCCTGCCTAGGAGAGGCCTTTGACTGCATGGACTGTGTGTCCATCCTCTGCTGGATGGCGTGGCTGAGGGCGTTGCCTAGCACAAGCTGTGCATGACTCTGAAGGAGCTCCGTGGCTGTTTCCAGTTCAGAGAGGAACTCCTGCTGGAGGTTATTCCCCAACAGTTGGCTCTCTTGGCTGAGATCCCCTTCTGCCAGGCTGGCACTACTATTCTGTTTGGAGAAACATGCATTTTTACATTTTCTGACAGTTGTGATATAAACACAAAAAAACTTAACTGTCAGTAGTAATTATTAATACATTATGGAATGATCACTAAATATATTGTATGTCAATATACTCTTTTTTTTTTTACCTTGAGAGTTGAATTAACATGAGGCAGACCTTGACTGGGATCCTCTGTAACCAGAGCTCTGAAATCAGTCTGGCAGAGTCCCTTCACCTTGGACAGCCTCATCTCCTTTAGCATGTGCAGGCAGAAGTGTCTAACCACAAAGTACCTCTGCATCACCACCAAAAGGTGCTCGTGTTTCTTCTCTATCAGGCTCCCTATTTGACTGGGATAAAAAAAATATATACTGCCTGTTATTTACTTACAAAATATGAAAATCTATAAACGGTGTGATCTTTCTGTGCATGGAATGAATAGTAACAGGTCTATCTGGTTTTCACCTGTTGAGTGCGTAGCTCTGACTGGCCACCATGGCTCTGAGGATCTTCATCTGTTGTTCACCAAGATGCTCTAGACAGGCCTGAGCCAGAAAGGTCCCCTCAGTCCAGGCCTTTAAAATAGGTTCAGTTAGAGTTAAATCAAACCAAAGTTATGCAATTAGAATGATTAGAATATGAACATTTGGAAATGCTAAAAAAAGCTGATAAAATGGTCTGAGATCCTTAAACTATGTACTGGTATACCTGTGAATCTTTATCCAGCCCAGCCCTGATGTCTTCCAGCTGCTGCCTGGAGCTGCACTCTGCGTGCTGTAGCTGAACCAGCAGCTCCTGCTCCAGGTCTAGCCACAGTTTCTCACAATGCTCAGCTGCTAGATTTGTCTGGGCAGGAACAGAGGTAAGAAAGATATCCTTGGCCAGTTTCCCAAGCTTCTTCGACCAATAGATACGGAGTTTCTGAGGACACAGAATATAACATGAATAGCCCACATGCACAAATATGAAGGTCTGTGAACAAATAAACCATTTAGCAGTCCATGACTTACCTTCAAAAGGTCACAGAGGGCTTCAGCCACCCTGTTGTCCTGCTGCAGATCCATGTCAGAGCTCTGCTGCCTGTGTTTCATCAACAACTCCAGGTACAGCTGAGGGAGAGTTTGTTAACATTCACATTTCAGATATTAGATTATGTATTATTAGTTATGCATAGCAAATTCAAAGTTAAATGATCTTGTCTCAACAGTAATCCCTGATTCACATGTTAAAGCATGATCAAATTTTCTGACCAGAGCAAAGTCCTGCACATTGCTGTGAGTATTTGTCAATTCCAGGGCTCGGCTCTTCTCCTTTGCCTGGCTCCGTTGAAGCTTCTTTCTTTTAGCCTCTTTTTTGTTGCACTTTTCGTTCACCAGCTCCTTTGCTTTCCTCGTACTCTCTGGAACACAAGTATTAAACTTCTATCTGAGCCTTGATGATGATAACTAAAAAAAGATGTTCTGTGTAAAACCTGCTGATCATTCAGTATATATTCTAACAAATAGTCTTTATTTCTTGTGTCATAGGTGATAATGCATCTTAATATCAAACAATTTAGCAAAGCTGAACAGGTCTTACTTTTCACAAAACTAATCATTTCTGTCATTTCTTAGTCCATTAGAATCACTGAACAGTGGGTGATAAAGTATGTCAGGTAAACCTTAAACTGGCTGGTTAAGTATGGTGATGTAGTCATGTGGCTGATTGTACATTAGGCCAGGCAGGAGTTTCAGGTTAAGAGAAGATGAATGAGAGTCTGGAGCACATTAATAGACATGACGTTAATCGGTTCTGTCCTAAAGGAACTTGACCTTATTCAAGGAGCTAGAGGATTCAGAGAAAATGGTCTATTTTGGGACGGTACATCTTTAAAGTTTGAAAAGTAGGCTAAATATTAACCACTGCTAGTTGCTGCTAGAATCAAATTTTTAAAATACTTTTCCCACCTTTTGGATTATTTTCCTTAGAAGCCTAACATGTCATCTTTAAATTTCCTTCTTAATTATTGCTGTAACTCAATAATTATAACTCATGCATCTTACCCTCAGTGCACTGTTGAAGGCCCTCGGTCAGGGCATCCTGAACCTCTGAGAGTATCTTTTCTGTGTGGAAACTTTTCAAGACGTTGTTGCTTGTAAGTTGATCAAGCGTTGTAGCGATCAAGCCCTGCCTCAGTGTCACTTCCCACCTAAGTAAGGCAGGCTGGGACTGAACGAGGCCCGTCAAGCCCTCCCACCACAACAACTTCTCCTGGGTTGTCTGAGAAATGGGAAAAAACAAGTGTATTCAGAGCCAAGTGTTTAGTTATCAAACAAGATCCACGCACGCGTGCCAACCAACAAATGTTGCTTTGCCTTAAGATCAGTCTTTTGGATCTTCCAAAGGTTGTTCTCTACTAAAAGAAGAGTCTGAATAACAGAGAGAATAACACTCTGAGCGTCATCGAGGGACAAAACGCTGGTCCTCTTCAGAAGCAGCTGACACAAATTTTCAACCTGTCGGCTGAAACTCTTGGACTGTGAGGAGAAATGAAGATATGGTCAGCACAGATTATTTATCTTAGTTAGAATATCTGTGTCATGATTTTATTTATTTTTACCATTTGAAGGCTGTGTTCCAGGAGATCTTTCTGAGCTCTCTCAGTCTCTTCCAGTGAACAGGCAGAGTCCTGACTCTGGCAGGTTGGCCTCTGTTTTCGTAACTCAGTTACTTCCTGACATGAAACATGACAGTATGTATTTTCTTGCAGTTTAAAAACTTCAGTCCATTGTTACAGTGTGAATGAAACTGGTTATTGCAATACATTTTGACATGCAGTCATTTATCCTGAATTACTCTACGATGAGATCAACCTTTTCCTGCATCTGAAGAATATTCTTGGTGAAGTCTGCATCATTTTTGTCTTTTGGAAACCGGCATGTGAGTATCATTTTCACCACATGTAGAAAAATCTAAAAGCAAAAAAAAAAGAAAAGACAAGTCTTAATATATACTCTGTGCTTTCTTGATAGGACAAATAACAAACATCTCACCAGATACTTTTCCTCATGAAGCTGAGAACTGTGATGTTGAATATTCTGCAGGGCCAAACAGTAGAGACTGATCCTTCCTTCAAAGCTACCAAGAGGGATCACAGGTTATGTAGACAGTTATTGTTAACGTTACCATATTGAAACCAAGTCCAAGAGGAAGCAGCCATGGGTTCCTACCCAGTTTGTGTCAACGTGTGAGGATAGTGGGAGACCCTGGTGAAGCTCTGGTCCTGCAGACTCTTGGGAATCAACAAGTTAGACATAAACTGACTGCTGTCATCGTTGTCCTGCTCTTGGCTCAGGGACTCTAAATCCACAGAGGAACACGAGTCTTCATTTGGCATTTCTGCCAGCTTTGAGTGTTCGTGTAGGGATGGGTTGGACGCACCATCTGCTAAAGGCTGACAGGCAGGAGAGGGAGAAATAATCATTTTGCACAACCATATAAATAAAGAAAATAAAAACTCTGTATCGTGCAGAGGAATTATTGTAGTAAACGACAGCAGATTTGGAAAAGATTCCAGCATATCCCCTGGACCCGAATGGCATTTAGTGGGGTTGGGGGAAAATGGATGGCTGGATAAATGCTTGATGCTTTTGTTTGGAGCATGTTCTTACTCTGTACTTTTGGTTGATGGGGTAAACCACCTTTGCCCTGGATGCAAATGCAGCCACGTCGCTGTTCATGCATGGCTGTATCTTTTCCTGATCAATTAACAACAGAAAAACAAGGGTTAATATCAATTGGCAATATCATAATATGATCAAAACTTATGAAGTTTCAAGCACTTTGCATCATATAGGAAACTAGTTAGTAACTCATTCAAGTAGGAATAATCCTACAACGTTTGGTTGTGCAAAGAGTCCTACTTTGTCAGTAGTGGGAGCACTAGGAGCCTCCTTTCTGCTGTTACTGACACAGTCACTCTGGTGGGTACCGTCTTTTTCCCGATCACCAGGTTCCAGCAGCCTCCTTGCATTGTAACACTAACAGGGGGTAATGAAAACACAAAGTTCACGACATGGATGCAACTTAAGTGCTTAGGCAAGAGAGTTGTGGCGTGCCATACGCTTACTTGTCTGGTCAATAACAGAGGCTTGAAGCAGAAGGCGTACAGGAGAGCAGCAGCTAATATTCCCGACAGCCCGCCGCACACCGTGGCCACCGTCAGCAGTCCTGTGTAAACACGAAGAGACTCCGCGAAACTGACCAAAACGTCCGTGCCGCATTCCGCTGCCATTTCCCTACGACTTCAAACTAGAGAGAAAAAAACGATGGAGGTCGGTGTGTTGTATGTTAGCCCCTCCAGCAATAGATGACATCTTGAAGAAGACAGAGGCTGTAACTCCCGTTCTTGGACTTCTCAGTCGGTTGTCCTTGGCTTGCATATGCTTCTTCAAAGAATTCGTTTCAAACACGTTAAGAAAAGCAGATATGCACAAACTTATCAGGGCAAAGACTTCTCTTAAACTTGTTAATTAGTTAGCCGGAGGAGTCCCAAGCTGCGGAAAAAACGGTAAATCACGCCAAGCGGACCGGAAATGAGAAGTATATATTTTCAGTGTTAGGGCGCGACTTCATTTTATTTAAAGAACGTGTTCTAATAACTTTATTTCAAATGTAGATAGAGCTTAAAATTTTTGTGAATATCAAATTTTTCTGTTTTGTTTTAAAGAGTCTATTATTTCCAAACAACCAACAGACCGACTGGTACCCTTTTAATATTAAAGGCTTAGCCGGAAATGGAATATTTGCATTGTTTTTCGTTGTTACCCCTAAGGAGTCGCCCGTTTTCCCGTTTTTACAAACTTCTGGAGAGTGTTCTGTCCTTACTTTTCCTTCTTTGGTGAATATGTGCGTGCGTGTGCGTAAAAATCTGTGAAACGGCATACACGGTTTGTCTCTAAAAAACGGAAATTCAAGGAGGATGTTGCTGCGTGATGTAGACGTAGTTAAAGTTGAAGTTTCAGACGAAAATCTGAGGAGATGTTATCCTTCTTTAACAGTGGCACCATGCAGAAACAATGCAGCCAGTTAGCTAGCGGCTGTCTCTGCTGGTAGCCATACCGCCTAAACGAATGTTTCGGGGACACTTAATCGTGGAGAGGCTAACGATATGGTCATTTTTCTTGAATATCGAAGTCAGTGGGTTGTTTTCACCTTCCCTGTCCTGTCCTTCCTCCTGTCACGGTGTGGCAGTGCTTGGTGCCTCTGTGGACAGAGCTGGACGTAACGGGACCTCTCTGGGTTCATCATGGCACTCCTCACCACCTCCTTACTCAGGGAACCATGGGGTAAGTCATTTAGTCGCACAGTTATGAAGAGCCAAGATTTCTTATCTTATAAATTCGAAGAATGTTTTTTTTTCTTTTTACCTGCCTGTCGCTTGTATTTTAAGAAAAGTCAGACGGGTAGCTCCTTGGTATGGAGCTGCATTTTAATTTAAGCCTGTGTGTAGGATGTTATGGTCATGTCCATTTCCATATATCACATTTTTATAATAACTCATGCCATTTTTTTCACTGACAGAGCACTTGTTCTGTCCATCCAAAGCAGCATGACCCAGGAGGGACACCAGCAGACTTGAATTTGCTCAGGATTGAAGGTTTGAGCTTTCCCTTAATTATGAATAAACTTGATATCTGAATTATTTTAAATCTGTAGTCACTTCCCCTAAAGTTTTATTATCAGTAATGTAGTAGTTTTCTAATATACTCTGCACCCTGTTGTAGTAATCTTTAGTACACTAGTAATTCCTTTCAGTAAATATGAATGTGAAACTGTAGTGTTTTTGTAGTTATTTTTCAAACTCTACAAACACCCTGTTTTTGCCTGACAGGTGCAATGGAGTTCAGTGGGCCCATGATGTCATTTGGGGGGAGTCCACTCTCCTCCTCAGCCCCTGCTGGTCCGTGGGGGCACTCTGTTTACTCCTCATTTACCTACGTGTCAAGCGTCTTGCACCTTCGAGGCAGCAGAAGCACACTCACGAGACACGGTCCGCGTCACCCCCTGCCCCAGGTCATCCTGCGTATTGCTCTGTTGAAGTTTTTTAAAGGAATATACAAAAATTAAGACGTTCTTAAATGTTGTTAATGACTGCAGGTTCAGAATGTGGCACCTCCATCTTCATTTGGGGTCAAGTTTCACAAGTGTGCACAGGTACATTTATATGACGGGCAGAAATTGTATTTCTGTTTATTTTGTGCACATGCTTTGGTAGCATGTTCAGGATTGTTCCTTCTATTAATTTGTAATCACATGGGGCTACAGGTGAAGGTTGACAGCAATCCCCCTCAGCTGACGTTCTTCCTGCTGATTCACAACTTGAGTCCTATGGGTGGCACCAATCTGTCTCAGGTGGCAATCCGGGACTCCATTTCTGGAATTGTTCCCCTAAAAACTGAAGGCAGGGTGGTAGAACGAGGCTACCAAACATTTGCAATCGACTCACTGCTGGGTATGTCTCCCATCTAGAATAACTGAAACGATTTTTTATCATCATTGTTTCAGTTTAAAGTTTTGTACTTGCTTCCTTTTTAAATATAATGTTACTCATTTGACCTTTTTTAGCCGGATCTCAAGTTGTGGTTAATTATACCGCTCATATACGGAATCACAAGAGTGAAATCCTTGATCTTCCTGCTTTCCTCACCTTTTCTAATGCCTCACAGGTATTTATTTTTAACCATTTGTCTATTTATTTGCTTTTCGTACATACTAGTCAGTCCTTCTTATTGGTCACTTTGCTCAGTTGTGCGTTGTTTTGTTTTTTTCTCACTCCACAGAATGATGTCAGTATGTTCGGCCCGTTAACAGCTAATCTAACGCTGAGGGTGAATTCTACTGACATGGTATGCTTTGGACTGTTCCTTTGTTGGAAATAGAGCTGTGGCATTAATCATTAAATTATTGTTTTTACAACTGTTCCAAGTTAGTTGTTTTTCAATATTTTGCTTTTATGACACTGGTTTAATGGCTGCCATCCTAGATCTATCCAAACCATGGAGTCCATTTTGCTGGATTTGTTGCTGGCTTCTTAGTCACTTTGGTGCTGATGTCACTGGGCTTCCTTGGCATGAACCTGACTGGTCCTGGATCAAGACTGAACCTTCTTGTGCAGAAGGTGACACCAGTTGATACGTTTATGTGTTTTTAATTCCTTCTGGTTTTCCTTTTTTAACATAACCATTTTATTGTTGAGGTGAACATACCTAACATATTTCATTTTGGCATTTTAAAAGGCATTTTTTCTTGTCTCTCTGTTAATTCATATATATTATTGTAAATTAGCATTCAATTGTCGGTTGCATTTTTTTGCTTCAGAGGAACAGAGGCGATCCTGACCCAGAGTACGCAGACTGTAACATGAGTGAGACAGTCAAAGATGAGGCCACATTTGAAGATAAGATGGTGGATGTTATGGTGCTGGAGGATCTTCAAAACATGTACCAGGCTCTGGAGAAGTGAGTAGACCAACCCACAAGTTTTTATTTTTAAATGCTGTGTTTTTTACTCTTTATTAGTCACCAGCTATAATTAGTTTGTTCATTTTCCTGTTTACTGTAGTAAATCTGAACCAGACATGGCTTTTTCTTCCCCACTCCCTATTTTTCTTTTAATCCCTGAAGCCTGGAAATGTCTTCGCTGCTGCACGCTACCAATAATTTGGAGGCCACCCGGATTCAGATTTACAAAGATGTTATGTCCTGCTTACTTGGAGGCCTGAGATCAAAAGGCCAGGCCAGCACTCAGGCTCAGCAGAGGCTACTAAGTGTGCTTCACGGACAGCTGCTGGGCATGGAGGGGCGCCTGAAAGAGGAGCGAGGGGTCCGTATGGCTGCACTGGCTGGTCAATGTAATCTGGAGACTCGAGAAGAAATGGAAGCAGAGCATCGCAGAGAAGCTGCTGAGAAAGCCCAGGCAGAGCTGCTCTGTCAACATGCTGACCAACAGGTAGTTGGAAGAAATATGTTTTTGCATGTGGGGAGTTTAGTGGGAAGAGAAAAAAGAACAGCTTTAAAATCACAGCAAGAAAGAACATATGTAGCTGGTAAATCACCGACCTGTGCATGTCATATGTCATGTGACCAGGAGCTCCTCCAGTGCAGTGTCCTCCTGGAGAAATTTCATAAACTGAGCCAGAACCGGCTTCAGCGTATCCTGTTGGTCCGCCATGAAGAAGCATCCGCAAAGGTCCAGAGGCAGATCACTGAGTGGCGACGGATGGAGCTGCACAAAATCTTCTTAGAGGAATTGGAGGAGTCAACTAAGATGGGCGAATTGGACAAGGACACTGCAAAAAATCTGCAACAGGAGTACTTTACTTTTCAGGTAATCAATCAAGGCTCAGATTATTGTGTATTTGATATGTTCTTCCTTTTAGAAATTTGCCTTGAAATGGAACCTATCCCATCCTTCATTGGATGAGGGGGGGGGGGCGCAGACCCTCGACAGGTCACTTGTATATCTCGGGGCCACACACGGACAAACAACCACTCACACTCACTCCAATGGGCAATTTAGAGTCTCCAAAAGCTGGAGTACGTTGGGAAGAACATGCTAACTCCACACAGAAAGGCAGAACTGGAGACTTTTTTGCTGACCACCATGCTGCCGTTCAGCCCTGGTTACATTATAAATAAATTAATATTTTCTTTTTGTACATTTTTTGACAAGGACCAGCTGGAGGACGTTCTGGATGTAGTGCTTGCCAATCAGCGTTATGTGCTGGCTGAACGCAGCGCACAGAGGAAGTTCCTGGTGCACAGCCTGCACAGCCTCAACAGCCTGATCTCTGACACCTTCTCCAGCTCCTCCAGCAACTTAGACAGCTGGTTCACAGACATCAGGAGGTATGTACAAAATACAGGAAGTCTTTTTTTTTGTAAGCTAGTGCCCACCAGCTGATTGAAGCAAGCAAGAATATCAACATTCAGCTGGAATTAATTTGAAAAATTACTTCCTTGTTAAACTTAAGCAACAGTTATGTTATACAGTGCTTGTGTTTTTAATGTGGCATGCTGTGGTCCTCTCCACCAGAGGGAGCATCATACCTGCAGAGCAAATAGACCAGCTGCAAGAGAAAGCCCAGAAAGAGCTCCTGATGGTCAGGCAAAGAATGGATGAGACCCTAAATCAAGAGAGGAGGGCAATGCGCTGTAGTCTGATTAAGAAGAGAAGGGAGCTCATTTCTGACATGGTAAGAAAGTCATGTGCTCGTTTTAAACTACAACTGTTGTGAAATGTAATAAACATTTATGTAATATATTCGTAGATTAACATGATATCCTTAGTAATTCCTTATTCACACTGTCTCCAGGTCAGGGTCCACAAACAGAGACAGAGAGATTTGTCAGCCATGTCCAAGGGTGTGGAGGAAAAGATCGAGTTAGCTCAGCACCTGCGCTGTTGGCAGAACTTACTGACAGCTCACAGCTTTGAGCTCGCAGAGCTCATCAACAACCTGGACGAGGAGGCAGCCGCAGACATCCGCAAGGTGCCACACATGACTCTACACATGGTAATGAAATGGGTAAAAATAGAATCTTCAAAGGCTAAATGAGCATGCCTGTCTGTTCTGTAGGTGGCAATGCGTGTGATCCAGGGAGCCATAGCTGACATCAGATCCATCCAGCCCTCTGCAGCACAGGCTCTCCAAACACTCCTGCCTCCAGGAAGGAAACACCCCCAGCTGCAGGTGGAGTCAGAGGTGGGAACAGGACAGGCCACGGGGCAAGGGACCAGCGCTCTCCTGCAGGGCCAGGAAAGGCTTCACCAGGAGGGCAAGGCCGCCTTACGCACCCTGAGCTGCACCAGGGAGGCTCTGCAGGAAGCCATGGAGAAGGAGCTGCAGGAGCAGAGGGAGCTCAGGGCACGCTGCAGGGATTTCTTCAGGTAGTTAGGCAGTAGAATCAGTCATCTCTTGTGAAATGCAGGACATGTGAAGGTAGAAAATTGGAAAGAAGAAATGCTTTAGAATGTTTATCTTCTTTTTTTTATTGTTGTCATCGGTCTCTTCTCTTTCTCTTTCTGTTAGATGTTTGTGTTTATCTCAGCTGACTCTGTCTGAGGATGAGAGGCTGAGGATGGAGCTAGAGTTTCAGAAGTGTCTGTCTGTGATAGACCGCTGTCTGGTGCTCCCTCATGCTGTCTCCAGAACCAAAATACACATCGCCCTGGATACGTGGAGAAAAGAGAGTGAAGAACAGATGGTGAATCCATCATCACACGTTACAAATTCTCTTTTCTGTGCTCCCAGAGAGTCAGAGCTACTTGCTGTAGTGACAGATACTCCTGAGAAAAGACAGAATTTTACCTCTTTCACCATCTGAAAATATGTATATTGAATTAACCTATAATGTTGAGATGAAATTCACCAGGATTCCTCATATCATAGCCCCTCCTAATTCAAAAGTAAGAGGGATATTTCTCAGAATGTGTTGTTACTCAGGTTGCCAGGTCTTACACAGTATAGCAATTGATAAAAGACTTCATATGAGACACCTGTGTCTGTTCTCTCTGAGTTCTCACATTCTTTTACAACAGTTATTGTGGATATTGTGCTTTATTGCAGACAAATGTGCAGTCCAAGGGGAAAACCGTAGAAGTCAGGAAGAAAGCAGACACATCTGACCTTTTGCTTTTCCAGAAAAGGCTGCAGGACAGGATTCAGCTGTTTGAGAAAGAGAAGGAGATGGAGAGTGGTATGATGAATGAGGTGGGCTAGTCCCCTTTTTGTTTCAGCTACCTTTGCTATAAGTTGATTCGGTGCAATATACATCCAATTCTTCTGCTAAACCCTGACAACAAGTGAATGTCTGCCCCTTTGAATGTGGTAGGTGCTGGAGGAGATGCAGCGGGAGAGAGAAGACGATCTGCGCTCTCAGGCTGACAGCCTGGCCATTCAAATGGCTGCAATCCAGTACCAAAAGGCGGAGAAATGGAGCAAGGTTCTGGAGACTTCCAAAGCCATGCTCACGCTACAAAGCCTGCTGATTCAGCAGCTCAGAGAGAGAGAAAAGCTGGAGGAACAGGACATGACTCTGAGTATACACAGCCACTGCTTAGTAAGTAGGGGTTAGCTTGTGTTACCTTCAGTCCTGCTTCATTTAGACGGTTAGGAGTTAAATGTTATTGAGAGGTTAACTTGACTGTCATGGCAGGGCTTGGAGGAAGCAGAGGAACAACTTCAGAAGGAGAGGACAGAGTTGGACAGCCAGCAAACATCTGAGCCTGGAAGAGCATTAAGCAAAATCCACCAGGACATCCCTGAGGGAGAGGAGGACAGTCAGAGGGGAGTTGTGTTTCAGCTGCAGTCTGATTGCAGGATGGCTTCCATCCTCCATGAGGCACTCCACAAGTGTGAGCAGGTCATCACACTGATGGCGGAGAGGTTGGTTTCCTAGCCTGTTATATGTGGGGAGTGATAGAGATTGTTTTCTGGGTTTACAGAGGTCATTGAATTTTCACGTGTGGAAACTCTGATGTTTTCAGTTTTCAACTTATGACTGCCAACAATCAAGGCAAAGAAGATTTAAAGGAGCAAATGGAGCTCAAGAGACTTTATGAAAACTGTGACCAGGTCTGATTTCCTTTTAAGTGCTTTTTTTGGCATTATCATTTACACAATACAAATAACCGAAACCCTCCAGCTGCGCCGTGTTTTAGAGTCAAGTCTATACTTGAAGTTTCCTTCTTCTCTTTGTCTCAGGATCTAGAGCTTGTATCTCAGCTGGTCAAACAGAGTCAGGTGTCCATCGAAGTCGTCCTGGAAGCCCTGCGCCTCCTACTGCCAACCCTGCCGGAAAGTGAGCTCCTCTCAATCACGGACACCCTCTGCCCCAAACAACATCCTGGTGCCGCCTCTAGAGAGCACGAGCCCTCTGGGTAAGAACCCGGGTTTTACGGGCAAATGCAGTTGAAATCTCTCATAAGTATAGATTTTATATGACATATTCATACAATGTTGGGTCACGTTATGTGGATTTTTCTGATTTATGAGAGGGGAAGCTTTCTCCAGCGCAGCTGTTCTTGAACTTTTTCTGACATACTGATACGATTAACAAGCTATTTATTCTCCAATCCTTCCTCTTGGCCTTTTTTTTCTCCCCTCATAGTGTATGTGCAGCAAAAAGCATGAAACCTAGCAACACTGGACAGGGTGCCAAACAGCTCAGATCTCAACATTTCCAATACTGCATCATTAGGCGGTGCTTTAAAAAAAAAAAAGAATTAATTCCCTTTCTCTTATCCCCAAAACTTCACCGCTGGTACTTTGCTTACTCTAATCTCATGCCAAGTCCCAGACTTCACAGCCCTGAAATATCCCATTAACTGTGGTGATGATAGCAGAAGACTGTTTCCTGTCTACAGATGTTTTAAAGTTACTACAACTTTACTTCTGTAGTATAACGGTGTATTTATCTAAATGAAAGGCCTCATTAAAATAAAACAGCAGCCATCTCTGAATATTGTATTCAGTTTAAATAACAAATTCTGTTTGAATGTTGCTCCACAAGGGTCCTCCTCCCCCGAGCCAAGATGGAGAGATAAATCATTTTGCTCATCATTTAATTTCCCTCACTTCCTGATTCACTGGAACACGCTTCTGTCTCCTGCTGAGCTTGGATTACTTTCCTGATGAATAATGTCTCAAACATGAGGTCGCGTAGGAATCGTGCTGTCTGGCTGAAGTACAAGGGAACCAAAGTGCTCTGTGTGGAACAATATGCAACACATGTGGGCTTTTAAAGTCTTTTTTAGCAGTGGTTTGTCCTTTGGGCTGCAGAGGATTTAACCACTGTTTCAAATATCCTTCAGAGAATCCAGGTTATTAGAAAGCTTCAGGGTCTGCAGTAGTATGGATTCTACATATTGTAAAGTCATTGATTGTTTCGTGATTAAAAAAGATGGAAATCTTCTGACCATGTAGATTTATGCCACTGTAAAATACCAGTTTTTTTTTTGTTTATCTGTGGTCTGTTATAAGAGATGCAATATTTCATTACCAGCTGTGTGTTCTTAAGAGTTGGATGGGGTGAAAATAAGAATAATTTGTTTTCAGTGCCTTTAAAGTAAGTAGCTTATATCAAAGACTCATGGAGGGCAATTTACAATCCCCAAAAATATGAACTGCGATGGGGTTGAATATCAGGTCATATTTTAAGTTGCCTGATTTCCAGAATCATTATCAATAACCTTTAGTTCACCTTCCATCCTTCCATACTTTAGCTGGTTGAGATTTGCAATTGATCACAACCTACGCTTTGGGTCTATAACTGCTACAGACATTAATGTCTCAAAGAATAAACCCGTACATACATTCTGTCTGAGCTCCTCTTTCCTCTCCCTCTGGACTCAACATGTTGGCTTCATTTCTGAATTGGCACACTCGGTACTTTTATCTAAAATCTTTTCTGAGGAAGTTGGCATTTATAGCTGTGTAATCAGTGGGACTGTGCTGATGGCTCTTTGACCAGGTGTGCGGGGGAGCAGAGCAGGGACCTTCCTCTCAGGCTGAGGACAGATGTGCTGCAGAGTAACCCGCCCAGCATGCCCGGTGGTACAGCGGAAGCAGAGAGGTCAGTTCAGCAGTTGCTCTCTCTGGCCTTTTCTTCTGCTATTTGCTGAAAGTTCAACTCTACCCCCAAAGGCTAATTTGTAGGGCAATGGTCACCAACATTACTGACAAATCCCAAATTGAAGTGAAGCACACCTTTCCCCAGCGTTTTGTGGTTTGGCTGCAGTGACGTGCATGAGGTAAGCACTCGAAACACTCCAATTCCATTAACAACAGCTTCTTTGTCCTATAAATCTCCCAGACTCCAGCAAAAGAGGCAAAGCCTAATGGAAAAACTGCTCCCCCGATCGCACCCTCTTCTTCCAAGAGGTGCCGCTCCATCGCTAGCTGAGGACAAAGGAAAGCAGACCAGACTCATCAAAGCGCAGCAGCCTCTTTCTGAAGCCGCCATGGCCGTCAGACCGCTGCAGAGCCCCGGGCCGGACACGGCCAGGGCAGAACCCAACAGCACAGCAGAGCAAAACGTGACTCCAGCCTCTGCCTGCACCAGCCCTGCCACCGCGGAGCGGCTTTTTGTGTTCCGGGATCTGCCTGAGTCATGTGACAGAGTAGACGTCTCTAAGAGAAAAAAGAAAAGAAATTTTCTCAATCTGAAGAAAGGCTCAGTGGCTCCAGCAACACTTCCATGAGATGTTCATTTTTTGTCTTTTTTATTGCATTTTATAATGATATGTGACATACGATAGTCCAAAATAAATCGACACTTTTATTCTGTAGCAAAAGCACTACATTTCTGACCTTTTCAAAGTGTGTGTAGCATCTGGCTTTGTTTCAGGTAAAGGCAGCTGACTTCAAACTTTTCCGTCTCCATGTCATGTCGTTACTTCAGATTCTTAATAAACATATTTAATCACTGTTGAAAGGTTCAGCATGGATATTTGACTTACTGGCTAAAGCTTTCATAAAGGTTTTTCCAGACCTGATCAGTTTTTTTCCTTCATACTGTTTCATATATGGGCCTCTTTAAACCTATTCAATGGATCACATGCTGAGAATGGATTACCTTTATGTGGCACAACTTACTCGCTTAATCCAATGATTGAAGACTTAGTTTGCCTGGTTTGTATTTGTGTGTTTGCTTTATGATGAATAATTGCGGCACCTGCTCGGAACAACTGGGAGTGCTGTCTGTGGAATAAAAATCAATCATGGTGCGTATTTGGAGCTTTTGTGCTGTGCTCTTCCACGCTTCCACGTCACCCCAACCCCACCCCCCCCACACCCACCCTCCTGCCCCTCCATCATTTAAAACGCGGCCAGGCCCCCTTGGTGCCTGTAGAAGGCCTGCCCTCGCCTCTGGCTGCAGTGGTTTGCTCAGAGGCTGGCCGACATGGCGCTGGGACTGGCTGCGCTCCTGTTCTCGCTGGGTCTGGTGCTCCGGGCGGACTGCGCGCCTCCAACCTGCTACTCCAGAGCGCTCAGCCTGAGCAAGGAGCTCATGACTCTGCTGGACAAGATCCACAACTACCACCGCACCGTAAGCCGCCTAACTAAAAAAAACTTTTGTCAGTTCTCTCCCTCCGGAGTGTGAGTCGCGGTGTGTTGTAACGATCTTGTGTTTGTCGGGATGCAGAAAACGTGTGCTGAGGTTCTACCGACGATCTTCCTGGATGTGCATGTAAGTCCGAATGCTCATATTTTCTGTATGATATGGGAAAACAAAGCTATTGGTGAGTATGTCTGGTGAGTGGGAGAGTATGCGTTCGACTTTTCTATGCAGTTTAGCTACTTACAGGATTTGTGGTGTGAAAGTTAGTGATTTTAATTGGTTTTAACAAATTAAGACCTCTGATTGCACACTGAGTAAAACCAATCCATTTGATCTCCCAAAACTACTCGATGTCATCCAGCCTTTAGTCAGTTGAGCGTCTGAGTGTACCATGTGTGTACCATGAAGAAGCCGTTCTCCAGCAGAAAGGAGATGCCTGATTCTTTCCTGTAAGCAGCCTCTTGTTGATCCATATAGAACTCATGCATCACCAACAAGCTCCGGGACTTTCTCTACGTGGTACTGAACCATCCCAACCAGCCCTGCAGGGAGCGGCCCAGAATGGTGATGCTGAAGCGTAAAATGCAGAACCTCTACACCATCATCACCAGGGTTTGCTTTCGGGTGAGTGCCCCCCCTGCTCTGTTTGGTTTTTATTGTTGCTGGAGCAGCTTGTCCAGAAACAGGCTTGTGTTTCCTTGTCGTTGGCAGGATTTGGTGTTCTTCACAGACGACTGCAACGCGATTGATACTGGACACAGCAGCCCTCACTACGGAGACGACCGGCTGCAGCTGCTGCAGGAGGAGAGATGAGCCGCCGTATTCATAGCAAATCCGTAGTGACCAAAACGTAGAACCAGTAGAGCATGTAGTATTTCCCAGCAAAGCTTCGGCCGGTTCAGGTGCAGCGTAAGTTTTATGTGGCTTTTTGGCGCACAATGCTGATTCTTGTCCTATACCCATGCTGGCTGTGCCCCAACTACAGATTCATGTCAGGGGGACATGTGTGCTTACATTCCAGCGAGAAGTGCAGAACTTTCCACAGGAAATGAGCTGAATGCCAACCATGCCGATGAAAACCTTGTAATAATAAACCAATAAGAGATGCTTGTGAGCGGGGCTTAACCGCTGCTTGCTTAGCCGGCCTGATCAAAGGATCCTGGGCCATTAAGAGAAATATGTTGCATTTCCGTAACTAACGTGTCTTAAAGAAGCGCTTTATGGCATCCTGCAGACATCTGAGGGGTCGAACATTGTGGTTAAAAAGTTATGTAAGTAATGAAAGTCCTAAGCATGGCGTCTCCAGTCTCAGCTGAACACCATGTTCCCCGAGGAGTTGTGATGTTTTTGATGTTTGTCCTGAAGTTGGATAGATTTTTGTGTTTGTATGCGTGAATATGAAGTAAGGGTACCCATACTCAAACATGTCAGAAGTATAATCCTTTGTATGTGTAACCTACTTACAATTTATTACATATACATATATATGTGTGTTTAATAAAACTTTTGTTTTTGTATCAATTCTCCTGTTGTTTTTTTATTTTTTTCTTGACCTTTATCAGTGATCCAAAAAATATTACACACAATAACATTTATTTCTTGAGGTTGTACACTACAAAACATTTGTATAATGATCATGAAATACTATTTGATAACCATTTAAATGAATTCAGTTAGATCATCCATGGCCTCTGCAGAAGGTGGTTATTAACCTTACTGCTTATAGTGAAGGAAGAAACACAGAGACCACCTTATCCACCATATCCAACCACCATGTATCTCCATTTATAACACAGTTGCTATTATTTTAATTCCACTGAGAGAACATGCAGGCAGATTTGACCACACTGAATCATGGACTTTGCTGCCCCCTGTTGCTGAAACCATCTTGTGTCCAGAGTGTTTGCAACTTCATTTTCTTGTGGGTGTACAAACTGACGAACCAGATGAATGTAAATAGAAATTTCTTCCATACAGGGTTACACAGCACATAGAGCCATCACAGATATAGATGTCGTGCCAATTGTTGACTTTCAGTGACTTATTTGAGCCTCTTTTGACTTTGGAAAGGTTATATGACTACATTGATACAAATCCATTCATCAGTCCAGGTGAGATCTGATCACAGACAGGGGCCTGATAGGAACCTACTCTCATTATTCCAATTTGGGCTTTACCAGAACTGATCCAGCAGAGTTAAAACAGCTCTTTAGCTTGGTCATGTTAATATTAGTACTCTGATGCAGTCATGACCGCATTTGCCACCTCTGATGATCAGTTCTTTGTATCTGTGATGTAACATGTTCCAGTGCACATCCACCCGGCCTGGCCCGGGTCCACGTGCTGCAGCTCTGCGGTGCGTGCAGCCAGAACATGTTTGACAAGCTGTTGGCCCATAAAAAGAATGACTGCGCTGCCTGACAACAGCGTCCATAATGACAGACACTGAAAATGTCACAGGGGCGAAAGATTGATAGTCTCACTTTGCTGATCCTACAGATTACTGCAGATAAGCCATGCTTGTGAAAATGCCTGCGTCCATAAGGTGGCGCTACTGGACCAGGTGCCACGCGCCAACACAAGTGTGTGACTGTCCTTTTTATTCGCTAGTGCCAAATATCAATGCAGTTTTCAAGTTTGTTTTCAATGCAATTTTTTAGGGCCGAGGGATTTGGAGAAGAGGTTAAGTTCAAAGTTCATTTGCGGAATGTGTTCATCATTTCATCACTACATGGAGCTACTTTGAGTTAAATGACAGCGTTAGAGTGATTTATGGTTTAAACATTCTTTTTCTGTCGCCGCGAAATGTCTCCACGTGAGATCCAATGTGCTTTTACCTGCATAAGCAAGCAGTTTTAAGCAAGGATTGCTGATCATGCCGCTCATTTTCCGCAAAGCTTTGGGCTTTACACCAACATCCACGCTTATGTGACATCATCCAGGTGTCTTTTTATTACACTTTTTAAACCGTAAAATGAGTGTAAAAAAAATTCTCATCGGTCCAGTGCGTAATTCTGCTCATTTTATAACCGAAAAACAATTTGCTGTTTAATTTCAGTTTGGCTCCCGCATTTCTCTTTGCGCCAAGAATCAAGGTCTTGCCTGTGAGCCCCTCAAAGGTAATTAACTGACCCTGCAAAGTCGAAATTGTAAGTCAGCAGCATGTGGCTTGTTGGGAAATCGGCCCACAGTGGGGTTATAAAGCCTAATTGCCGTTCTCATTAATCATAATTATAGGAGCGCGCAACGCACCGTCTTTTAAGGCAAAACGAGCGGACAGCGTTTAAACCACGGGAGGCCGGCTAATTTAAGCATTTTATGTTCAGTGACGCTGCACCCAAAACGTTTAAATGCTGCACAATAAAAACATCTCTACCCGAGGGGTGACAGTAATCATTCTCTGCTTTGTTGAAATAAATTCCCTTGTAAAGAACACATCACAAACCCATTTAAATTAAAGGAGCGGCGATACAGTTTGTGATTCCGATGAGTTTATGGGGTTTTCAGGCAATTTTCCATCACATTTAGCGCTTTTATTGCATTTTAAAAGAAATGCTGCCTCATTAGTGCGCATAAGAGAACGTTTCCCCCTTCATTTCAATTGGACGACTGGCAACACTCGATGCGCAATTTGTAATAATTATGCTGCTCAGCAGACTTGGGGGAGGACACAGGCTTTGGTAAAAACTTCAACTACTTTTCCCCAGTCTGCTGTAAATACATTTTATAAAGCTGCTCCGTGTTTTTAAACGTCGAAGTAACACCCTCTGGAAAGTTGGACTTCTGATACGATTGTTGGTTCAATACCGAGCTGATTGTTGGATATTTTAACGTTGTTGTTGTGTATGGCTCCTTTGGTGTTGGGATGCTTAGGTCACGTGACGCGTGCAGGACACGCAGACCTTTCCTGACCACTGCAGGACAGGACAGTGCTGCCCCCTTGTGGCCATCTGGCATTATTGCTCCGAACTCCACACCATCCACGATGACAGCTCCTCCTGGTTTCTTCAAATGTTTGAGTTTAACTTTTGGAAATGATACAGAGAGCAATGATAAACCTAATAAAATACACCGATAGAAGAAAAAAAAAAAGCCGTAGGGAATGTTATAATCATTGTTGTTTTCACCCTCTTTCTTCGCAGCATGATGCCCTGAAGCCTGTTTCCGAAGCAGTCCAAGTCAATAATGCAGCTCCAACCGTATCCTCTGCTACATACTGACTTGTCCTCCATGATTTGGGGGGGAAACACTGACGCGAGAGGTTTGTTGTTTTCTATTTCTTAATATTACTCTCTCCGACATCTTCAAGATGATGATAAAGGTAATCTTTTTTATCCAATAGCACCAAGAGAGTAAGAGTCATTATTCGACTCTTTATTGTGCCACTGTTCACATGTCTGAATAATGTTTAAATAATGTGGACGAAGTCAACAGGAGATTTCTCTAATAGGTGCTTTGCCATTCCTTTTGAACACGTGTGAATTATGTCTCCACAGCGCGTGGGACGGTCAGGTCAGATGGTCACCGAGGTCTCTCGTTTAATGTAGAAGAATCTTCAGATTTTTCAAATAGAACACAGAGTTTCCATAATGCCCAAAACACAGTAGATGATGGAAATAAATATGTCTGTAGATCCTAATGATTGTCGATCATGAATGAACAACAATAAAAAGGTAAAGAGTAGATCCCCTAAGAAGGCTTCCATGAGCAAACCTGGCAGCTTTTTGTTTGTTTCTGATTGTTTGTTTGTTTTTTTTGTTTGTTTTGTCAAAAAGGAGTCTGCCTTAATTAATGTTTAACCTTCTGTGAGCTGGGGTATAGTTGTGTTGTTTCTGACTGATCAGTTATTTAAACAACCAATTATTTAAAAAAGTCAATCTGATTGTATTATTATTGTTTTGGATATTATTCCCATATTAGTCAGAGCAACAATCAACAAAGGTTGATTAACCCAGATCTTGTCTTTAAAAATCTTTTTTATTTATTTTATTTTTTTGTTTGTGTCTTTCTCTGTGAGGAGTAAAACATCATTTTATTTATTTGGAAAAAACAAATATAAGTTAAATGTCCAAATGGTCTTCTAACGTTTCTAAATCTGAGTGAAAAGTATTTCATTTAATGCTTTATTCTTCAGGCTTTTGGTGCAGGTAAACCCCCCTAAATGTCGCTAATGCAAACCTTAGTTAGTGATGTCTGTGGAGGTATGAAAAATAGTATTTTATATGTTTTTGTAACGTTTTTTCTTTTCTTTTTTATTGGCTTAAAGCGTCCCATTACGTGCGCCATGCCCTCAGTAACGACCAGAGAACAAAGGTCAGAGGCCTCTCCTTTCATAATCTTTTATCCATGCTAATAACCCATTTGCCTCTCATGGGGATCAAGAGGTTTTACTGCGGAGTCAGAAAACCTCCTGTGATCTCTTGGATGACATAAACAAGTGACTTTTGTTTTCCTGTTTTGGCCCCGGGCTAGATCGAGAGCGGAGGACAAAAGAATGAAAGAGTTAAGAAGAATGGACTGATCCCCTTTGGCTCCTTTGTGTCAAGTTTCTCTTCCTTTCAGATCGAGCGTTCATGCGTGTGATTTCAACTTATTGTTGGGGATTATGTATTAATTCATGCTCGGTGGACAAGATAGAACGGATATTGTCTGAAGGAGAGAGCAAAAGGGAACTGGGACTCGCTCTAAAGCCGCCGGACGGACGGACGGGGGTCTGGCGGGCCGTTCCGGGCTGTTCCGGGCCGGGAGGGGACGGGAGGAGCAGAAGGGCCGCCCGTCCCATTCCCCCGCTGACATTTTAGGAATGATAAAAGTTCCGCCTTGCCTGGAGCTACAGCCTCGCTGGAGCCGGCCTCTGTCTGCGGCAGATTGCCTTTGCTCATTACAGCAATTATTTTACTCCAGTTTAACCCCTGCCTGAATGGCAGGGAAGTCCGGAGAAAGCCTTTAAAACTACCGCCGTGGAGAGGCCAGTAATTCCCCCCCCCCCTTCCCCTCTATCTGATCGCTCTCCTGTTTAAGTCCTCCTGATGGCAGAAAACGGCTCAGGTTTAAGTGCGGGTGTTTCTGTTTTGGCGCTGTTATTGTTGCGGCTGCGCACGGCTCCAAACCCGCGCGCCCCTGAGTGTCACCGGGCTCATTTTACACCCTAAACACACCTAATCACACTCCAGTGGGTTGTTTACGAGCAATTTTGCACAGAAAGGCAATCTCCAATATTTATCGGCGCGTTTTGAAGTCAGCCCAGCAGCTTTAACCCCCCCCCCCCCCCCACACCCCATCTCCACCCTTTAAACTCTTCTGGCGCCAAGAGAATCTGGGTTAGTCGTCTCAAAGCAATAGGTGACAGCTGGAGAGATGCGTTCCGACAAATTACACGTGACACCTTTAGGTTCACAGCGTTGAAGAGGCAGGCTGAGACCTTCTTACCGTGGAGGGGGGGGGGGGGGGGCATGGAACCCGTTCCCCCGTGAGAGTGTCATCTGCTCATCTTAGTTTTTGTGTCTATTGGATACTACCCACCTTTGAGCTTCTATCCAATTGTTATTTTCCTCCAGATGATCAAGAAACTATTTTTAAAAAGGGCTAAACCTCATGACAAATTAATGAAGTTTCACTTCGTGTGAAATATCTTTTAAAACACACTTTGACCCGTGGATTTAATAAATAAAAAAACACAGCAAATGTCAATCAAAACGAACAAGTTCTTCATGAAAAAGAATAAACAATTTATTGTTAAGTTATGTCACAAATATATTCATAATATAAATGAGGATATTCTTCAAATATACATTATTTTACAGTACATATTTTTCCCTTCCGAAGGGAATCAATCTGACAACAGACAGTGCTGTTGTAAAAAAACAAATGCTGTGGTTCTCGGGTTCACAAAGAGCATCGTTTGACACTGATTTACTAACCAACCGTGGTCTCGCATTCATATGAATTCAGAAAAAAAACAATAAAAAATAGCGAGAAAGTAGGGCTTTGACAGACTGACAACGGCCCGCTGAAGAACCTCAGAGCCCAACTGAAGTTGTTGGTGCTTAAATGTAAAAGAAAATAACCACAATCTAAAGGCCCTGTCACCTTTCAGCTGCTGTGGGCAGCCGTGAGGGTCAGCGGGCAGCCGGACGCACCGCTCACTGACCCTCCTCTACTCTCCATTCTGGGTTTATCCAGACGCTACAGGCCCTCTGTCCGCAACAAAAAAAACTCCATCTTAAAGTAATTTAGTCTCCCCGGTCATCTTGTTTCTCTGAAATAATACTTTCGTTTGTTTTACATTCCATATTTAAGACTTCAGATTAAATGACTGATAAGGCTGCGGGTTCTTTTCTTTTTTTTTTGCGGAGTGTGAACTTACTAGAGGGGTCAGTAGAGGCGGATAAACTTCAAGGTTCCCTCAGAAGGGGGGTCCGTTAGGAGGCCTTGGCCCTCTGACCAGATGTGACACTGACCTCCCCGCCAGGACGCGTCTTTAGGGCCGGGTCTAGAGCTGGTCCGGCCCCGCGTGCCCCTGAACCTCCCGGGGCCCCCGGAGCGTAGTCCAAACCCCCTCCTGTCCAGTGTCCCGGTCAGGCCAGATGGTACATGCTGTATCCCACGTGCGCGGCGTACAGTCCCACCGGAGACACGGGCAGAGAGTGCCTCTGGAACGGGTGCGAGCCCGCGTAGGACGCGGGCACGTGAGCACCGAGGGGAAAGGAAATCCCGAAGGCCGGCGGCAGCATCGGCTTGGCTGCCATTTTCAGTTTCTCCAGCTCTGCCTCCTGCAGGCGCTTGGCCTTGGCCCTCCGGTTCTGGAACCAGATCTTGACCTGGGTCTCTGTGAGGTTGAGGGAGCTGGAGAACTCCGCGCGCTCGGCGATGGACAGGTACTGCTTCTGCCGGAACTTTCTCTCCAGGGCCAGGAGCTGGGACGTGGTGAAGGGGGTCCGGGGCTTTCTGTTGGTCTTGTGTTTGCGCAGCGGACAGGCAGGAGGACTCAGTCGCCCTGAGAAGAAAAACAAAAACACCAAAACGCCTCAGTTTAAAGCCCAGACCTGGAGAGCCACGATCACCGACATAAAAACACTGACAAACTATCTATACCCATTACTCTACAGTAAAGTAGCAGTCAGCATTTACCCAGAACAGCAGGCTTAAATGTAATATTTGATCCAAATATTAACTTCTTCACTTACTTGGCGGCGTGGGAGAAAAACGTGGATTCTGTATCCATGAAGTCCTCTCTTTACCGTCCGGGCTCTCAGGTTTGATCAGCGCCTCCTCTGACATGTTCATTATCTCGCCCACTGAAAACGGAGTGCTCATGGGCAGAGCGGGGACGGAAGTGTCCAGACCTCCGAAAGAGCCCATGCGCGCGCCCTTCCCCTGCAGAACCTGGGACGTCCCGGCCGCCGCGTCCGGAGACGGAACCTCTCTGCTGGGCTTCCGATCGGCCATCAGCGCCTCCACGCTGAAGGGGAGAATGGCGACTTTGGGCTTGCCCGTTTCCTCCGCGGGGCTCAGGCTGGTCTGCATTTCGCTGCCGTGGATGAGGATGGTGCGAGGGGAGAGGTCTTCGCTTTTCAGAGCAGCACTCAGGGCCGACATGGCGGTCGATGGGGCCATACAGGTCCGACTGGCGCCGGGGGAGCGACTCGATAGCTCTGCCTGGAACCGTGGGGGGGGGGGAGAGAGCTGGTATAGAGCTGCTGCGCTCAGTGGGACGGTATCCTCATGTTTATGCGGCCAAATTGGAGCGCGCGCCTTTAATAAGGCAGACGTAGAGGGGGGAGGCGGCCAATCAGAGCCCAGGGAGGCTGGACTCCGCCAGCCGGAAAAAAAAAAAAAGTTTAACAATAGTTACTTTTTTTTTTTATAGCAACATACTTGAGGCAGCAAAATAAAAAAGAAAACAAACACTTAATGAGCCAACGTTGCGTAAAAGAAGAGCTCAGTAATGGTGTTTTAATCCAAAGCGAACACTGATTTTCTTTAACCGACTTTGACATAATTGGGGCTGCATTTACTTTACTGTCGGGAACCCTATGAGTCGATCAACCCGGATGACTTTAGAAAGCACCCCCCCCAAACCTTCTGTGACGAAGCCCTCGCGGTGCGCTGTTTATTGATGGCTGCGGGGCTCTAATCAGATTGAAACACACAGGCCTCTGCGGTCATTTAGGGGTAATTATTGGGCTTGGGGGAGGGAATACAGGATTTTCCCCCTTTGACTACATCCATTAAAGTCAAAATTTATGTGGAGTCGGAGCAATGGGGAGGAGGCAGCGTGAAGCCAGGAGGGGATGTGACTCAGGACTGTCATTGATTTACCTGCTCAGAGCTGTGCGCCCTCTCATTATCTCTAGCATCTACAAAAAGGTATTTCTTTATTGGTGTTGTCGCCTATGGAAAATATGCCACCGCATATATATGTTTGACTGCCTTGCTGTATGATTGCTTTGCGGATTGATAAATAAAACGCTTTTGGGTCCCAGAAATGTTGGATTAAATGCAGTTGTTTGCGGCAAGTTTTGGCGTCTGCGTCGCTAATTGCCAAAAATAAACAATCTGTCACGATTTGTCCGTCTCTTTAATGGGCAGACAAGTTGTGTTGTTTTTAGGCGCCAGCAGCGGTCGGATCAAAAGGCTCCACTTTGGGGAGACTATTGAAAAAGTCAGACCCGCACCGCCTCCTCCTCTACCCGCCCTAGCCCTGGGACACAGAGGCATTCAGCCTGAAAAATTAGCCTTTTCTCAGCTGATTGCACGCTATTTCTGTCTTTTTAAATAAGCGCTATGGTAATGGAGGATAGGCTCCTACAACGAAAAAGGTCAAAGCGGCTTCTTCAAGTCCACGCGCTGAAAAGGATTTTTGGGAGCAAGTGTTTCCTAAGAAACACATGACACACACCCCGGGAACGGCTGAGCGGAGCCGCTGTTGGGACTCCTGAGCTGCCCAGACTGGCTCAGGCTGCTGTATAGAAATAATTAATCCACTCTCCAAGACCAAGAATACATTTCTTTTTGGAAACAGTGCCTCATAAATACCTGCGGCTGGATAAGATGTTAAATGACTTCCTTCGCGTAAAGTGCCATTTCAACTCAAGGTGACACACTGGTTTATTCAGGAGGCGGTCAACCAAAACCTGTTTTGCGTGACGATAAAGATAAACTTGATATGGTAAATAATTAGCAGTCTGCCCAGGGTTGGCACGATAAATATTTCACCAAAGACTCCAGATAATTTATTTGTCAATTATTGATTAGTTATTGGTGGTAATCGGCTAAACAAGCTCTAAAAGCAGGTGGAAGGACACATAAATCAATTCTTTAGAAGGTTTGGAACATCAGATAATCCGCTTGAAGTGTTCATCGTTTTGCATTCGAACAGGCATTTACAGTTAGCGTTTCCTCCACTGCTCCTGCGCTCACAGGTAATGGATGCTCTGTGGCTGCTCTGCGTTTGGAAACACTTAAACCTCGAACCTTGAAAAATGCTTTGAAGTAATCGAAGTCCCCCGGGCTCCCACGTTCGACTAAAGTCAATTCTGCTGAGGGTTTCAAACACTTAACCTGCACTCCAGTACCAACTTGTTGCACCGGCGTGCGTAAAAACTTAGGAGAGACACACGAGAGGCTGTAAGTGTCCGTGGATGGGCACTCTGTCACACACCGGTCAGACTGGGCTTTACAAAAATATTTATCAGAAATTGATGGGTAAATCATAATCTCCCGGAACATACGTATCCATAAAATATAACCTCACATGAATATTTTCGTTTAATCTGATTTACGTAAACCTGTATTTGTCTGTTTATTTGCTTTTTCTGGGGGGGAAAATACATGCAGTGGAGAAGACTATTACCGTGGCGATTTATTTCAATCCCGAGGCAACAAATGAGGTTTTGAGTTTGTTTTTTGCTCTTTAACTGTAGAGGCCCACTGGGCCTTTATTTAACTTCATAAACTACCTTTGATTCTCAGCCAGGAAGCAGGGACTGCAGACAAAGGCCCATTGTTGCCTCCGCTCAAAGTTGTCTTAACCCTTTTCATGGGGGTTCTGTCAATTTAGACTGTAAAGACATAAAAAGGCACAGTCGATGTCAACATTTCGACATTTTCTAGGGAAATGTTTGCTCTCGGAGCATGTGAACGACTTTTGTCTGGGAGCACTGGCATCGCACGTGTGAGTATAAATTCCCCAAAACTTCCATTTGGGGACAAATTAAAACGCTCTTGCAGCCTTTGTCAGCAAAACACCGTGGAGATGTGATATTTCATCTTGTGACCAGTGATGAGCCTTCAATATTATTTGCTTTATCTATTTTTATAATATTTTTTTTAGTTGAAACGCTTTGCACAGATATGGGATGAAAGGAGCAGCCGAAAGTCAGGCCCAAGGTCTCTGTAATTATGGATAATGTATCACGTTTCAGAGCAATTAGCGCAATCAGGCAGATCTGGGCACTTTGCTGCCACTAAGTAACAATGCCTCTTGGTCGTTTAAGCTTCAAGATGCCATTCACACTCAGCCCACGGGGGCTTAGGTTTGGCAGGTGAACCTGTGTGACCACAAATGTTTCTTCCCACCTTTTTTTTTTTCCTGAAATTTGCTTACTCTGATTAATGCCTGTTTCGATATATAGTTAGACGAGATTACGTGTCTTTATTTTTACAGACTGACACAGACCGGGGAGGCTGCCATAACCTGTCATGAAAATATATAAAACGGGAAATTACTCAGTGTATCTGTCTATTTCCTGCAAAGATGAATGATCGAAATGTGAAAATGTTACACTGCAAAACCAAAAGCACGGGCATAACTTGGTTCGGCCCATTTGGCATAAATATCTCCATCCCTCCTCTGGGTTTGGTGTTTATGTGGCCTTGTAAAAGTCAAGGTGACAAGAGAAACAACCAGTTGACTTTCCTTTTTTTCCCGAGAGTCCACACTAACGCAGAAACACCGTTTATCCTCGTTGGACAGCTGCAGAGCAGCAGCTCGCTGTGAGAAATAGAGTCCAAATGTGAAAGCACGCCGGCAGACGATGATGAATGCATCAGAAAGCTCGGAGATAAAAGGAGCTCGTGCGGCTGGGTGAAGAAGAAACGGACGCTGTTGGGATGAATAAGTCTGTAAGTCAGTCAAATGCATCTCTCGGTGAACTTTTATTTCTCATTCATCTCCCTCACCTTTCCCGGGCTGACAGGCAGGATGAATGCGTCCCCGCGGTGATTTGGGGGTGTTTTGGGGGGGGGGGGAGGGGGGGGGGAGAAAAATTCCACTGGCGGTTTAGAGGAGGGGGGCGGCTGTCGCCAGACTAGCAGGGGGGCTCATTTTGTTTGAGGAGACTGAAAAGAAATATGTGCTCGGCATCGCCACAGAATCAGGATGTGTGCCGATTTAACGGTGTCTGCATAAAAATGTGGTATCAGGCACCTCGTGGTTTTTTAGGTGATGAGGATAAAGTAAAAACACGTTTGTTTTGGCGCGTGGTCTTTCAGACACAGCGGGTAGTCTGCTCTGATTGGCTCAATCAGCTAAAACTGCAGCAGCCGGTGGGACCGCATCACCGTCAGCTTTAATATTAATACGCTAATTAAAAAAAAAAAAAAGATTGTTCTGAAAATATAGACCGCACACTTGGGGGAAGACATTTATTTTTTATCAGCACAGTGAACCCAACAATTAGCCATATTGTTAAATTTGACAAACCACAAACCAACGTGTTTTATAAGATTTTTTTTTGCAATAATTTGATCATTTTTAACTCGAAATATGGTTATTTTAAAGCGAGGTAACCCCCCCTCCTTTTTTGTATTCAAACTAATTTACCTATAGTTATCTGTTAAAGTGAGTTTTTCTAACTTCACTTGAAAGCATCCCCTAAATTATCAAACATGCTATATAATGATTGTGTTGTAGCTTTTTTAGCATATGAGTATTAAAATCGCCATAATTATTTTTTAATATTGCTTGTCATTCTTTATTGTTATGTTTTCTTCTGTTTTCACCCCTGAGCACAAAATACAAAAAGCAATTGAATTAATGCAAAAATAAAAATGTCTCTAAGAAACGAAATGATCATTATCTCTTTTAATTTGATCTCATGTTGAAATTTATTTTTCTATAGGTTTTTCATAGAAAGTGCCTCTTTATATCCAATCCTCACGCGCTGGCGCAGCCGCGTGCGCGCGCGCGCGCCGCAGGCGCGATAGGATCAGCATCCCTCAGAAGGTGACCTGTGCGTGACTTGAAAACCAGAATCCTGTGAGCGGCTGAGCGGCGGTATCTGGGCTATAGCTGGCCCGCTCCTCACTGCTCTGCCGAAACCAGATAAAACTGCGGCTTTCTGAATTTACAACGTTTCATCGTTCAGCCAAAGACATCTCAATTACCCGAGGAGGGGCCGCCGGTGGGAGCCGGAATTATCGCCCCTTTTATTTCTTTCACGCCATTAAACAGCGAGCACGCCGAAATCATTTGCAAATCACTGGTCTGGCTAATATGATATCTTGAAAGGACTGATTAACTAATGGCAAATCAGGGGATTTATTTCGATAAGTCCATCATTTGGGCCTCTCAGGCGCTGAGTGCTCTTGTTGATAGAAGCTAAATTAAATGCTCAATAAGCGCATAACAAGCAACGGTTACAG